CTGCTGACTAAAACAATGATAAACATTCAGTTTATCATAAGAACCAATTCTGCTGACTAAAATGATTATAAACATTCAGTTCATCATAGGAACCAGTTCTTCTCCACTCGAAATAACAACTACCAGTGTTTTACCGAGCACTCAACTCAGTAGCTGGGTAACTTTAGACTCAAAGTCTAGAAATGGGGAATTTGCAATAGCAAAGTCTAGCAGAAAAAATATACCTTTTCAGAGTATATGTGGTCAGGTGGCTATCGGCCATTTTGGTCAAAATTCCAAGGATAGTTGTTTTACAAAGTATCAGTCTGGAATGAGAAGGCTAGTTACAGAAATGAATGGATGCAGGTGATATCTGCAGCAATGAACCTTAAGGACTAGGACTGTTAAAGAAGGAAAAGAAACACAACCCCCCCCCCCCCCACCCCACCCCTCAAAATGTTTAATGTTTTTTAACACTATGGTGATTATTTACAAGTGCGTCACAGGTTTGTCCACCCCTGATTCAGTCAGACAGTCAGCATGTCCTTCAGAGAACATCCCTCTCTTTATGACCTCTACAATTCTCAACTCTTTAAGGCCCAAGCAATGGTGTGAGCATTGATTGAGAAGTTCCGTTTTGCCCAAACAACACTGTTATCGTCGATTGTGTGTCCCATACATTTTGCTTCACAAACAGCTCTGTACTTGTTGCTAATGTTCGTAAGAACGAAGTAAAATATTCAGGGAAAGTCATTCTGCCGAAATCCTTTCAGATTTAGTCGGATTTACCACGACATTTTTTTCAACAGTGCACTTTCTAAGTTCGTTTTCAAGTGCCATGAATACCAATGTTCCAACCACAAGTACATGTTGCAGAATGCGTCTTTTTGCGGCCAAAGCTATGAAATTGTTTCAGTCAGATGTTTTCAATTCTGACAATGATAATAAAAATTTAGATTCGGAAAGTTATTCAGGCGGTGTTTTTCATCAGCGAAGCTGAGCGATCAGCTGTTCTGTCTAGCGATTCTGATGAGTTTTTTTTACATAGACAATGTCCCATTGCTACCGTATTTACGGTGTAAGAGAAGGAAAGTGCTCTTAACAAAGAGATTAGGAAAGTGCTTTTAACAAAGAGATTGTACTATACTATGGCTAAGCTAGATTGAAATCATCACAGTTACAGTCTGTATATAACTCTACAAAGTAAATAGTAAATGGCATGTGTGTAATGGTTCACTTTTCTGCCATTTTTTTCTCTGAAACTTTGCTCAGCACTCTGTGAGAACTAAGAGCCCCTGAGTGCTAAACTAACCCAGAAACTTATCATAACTTTCAAATTTATTAGGAAATTCGAGAAACTTTGAAGTTTTGTTCTCACATTTGGATATTCACTTCTCCTGTAGCTGCAAAATCATGGTAAGTGAAGAATTTGTAAAATGTTATGAAATTAACACCTGCTGAATTCTTCTTTCCTACTAACTATAAATAAATTAAACATACACTTATCAGATTCAAAATGTACATTCATTTCTCTTTAAAAAATATCTCTTTTTATTAGGATTAGAAGTATATTACATTCTCTATTGCCTTTCTTCTACACCCACCCCTCTGCCATTTTTGTCAAGGGAAATTAATGTGGGCCAAGTCTGTCAACATTCATGGGCCTGAAAGAGTTAAAGACTTTGAAAACCATGATGAAAATGTTGTCAATGTGTCATTGATATGCAAAGTCAAAATGAAAATTCATCAAAAATTTACTATAAGCACTACATAATTGTTTTCTTTAAAGTAATTTAGAGAAATAAATTGGCTTCAACAAGATTCATTGCAAAAATGCTATTTCAGTATGAGAGAGCATCCGAAGTTATAATCACAGGGGGTGCAATCGTGATAGCCAAGTGTAGCCGTCAGTGGATCGCATAACATGCAGTCATGGTAGTCAATGGTTGAAAAAGTGATGAAGAGAGAAAGTAGCCCTAACTTACTCCTCTCTGCACCTCAAGCTAAACTGATGTTTCACCAGCTACTCTGACTGCTGCTTGTTGTTCATAGACCTGATTGGTATTTAAAATACTCACAGGTAACACTGAATGTTGTGATAAGAATCAGGTCAACGTAGAGAAACTCAACATCTGTCACGTTAGCTCCCAGCTGCAAAAAAAAAAGAAACAGAGGTTTAAATTTTAAAAATGTAGCCTGCTTGGTAAATGATATTGCCTTTAAGGTGTCAAATCATCATCATCTTCTTAATTTTTGGCATCTTTTCAGATGATAGTACTGCAGCGTATTGCATTTTATTGTATTATACTCTTTTGTATTATAACAGACCACATGTTTCTTTCAAATTGTGCACCGCTTAGCTGAAGGAGAAGGAAGAATAAGAACCAGGAGGAGCAACAGCAGGAGAAGAGAAAGTGAAGGAGGAGGAGGAAAAAAGTAAAGGAACGAGTAAGAGAAAGAGGGAAAGAAGCAGAAGGAGGGTATTGAGGATGGGGAGAAGAAAAGAAGAAGAAGGAGGAGAAGATTAAATTACATTAAATTAAACATTACACTAAAGATATCAGATACAGGACTTGTTATCCTGGGCACAAACTACATTCATACCCAATAAAGAATAAGCACAGACACAAACTGTGTAAGACTGTAACAAGCCATGTACTTGAACACGCCAAAGGAGGTCACTAGAGTTGCTCTTCCTTCTCTGCAAAACAACACATCAAATATATGAAAATAAAAAATAAATAACAAAACAGTAATAATAACTATCACACAGAATAGAATTAGAAAATAGAAAATATAACAGGCAGAAACATCCCTTTTAAAGAGAAAACTTCAAATACATAAATATTTGTCACTAACTGTTATCTTCTTTTTTTTAAAAAGTCCTATTGTTACTTTCTTTGTCATTGTTTTTCTCATTTCCTTAGCCTCTGAATTTTCTTACACATCTGTCTTCATTTCATTTTTATTTTCTTGCTTTAAAAAAAAATCTATTATCTTTATTCATTCTTTCCTGTAAGTGTTTGTTTTTTCTGTCTCTGTCTCTTACATTCTATCTTGTATCCAATTCTATGATGTGCTTACAATAACAGTCTCCTACCAGAATTGCAGTCAACTGTTGATGCAAGCAGTCAATATGGGATGAAATACAGTATAGTAAAGACAATACTTATAACCTTAAAGTTACTCTACAGGAAACGTCACAGAGATTAGTAAACATTAAATGTCAGTAGAAACACTTACTTGATGACTTTGGGAACACACTCAATGGTCGGAGTTTTGGATGTGAAAGGTGAAGCTACAGAAGCCTCTGCTTCTGACAGGGAGATGCCCATGTGGGCAGTCTTGAGAGCTCCGCAGTCATTGGCACCATCCCCGCACATACCAACATAGTAGCTGCAAGTAACACGAGATCAATTCAATACAACAGCAATAACATATCAACATTTATATACATTTTAAACAGATCTGGCTTATTTGTATGCCTAGCTTATTTTAGGCAGGTGTATTCTGACTTTAAAGGAAAACACCCCTTTGATTCATGACATGCTTGTTGAGAGGGTGGTGGTGGCGGTCTATTATGTTCTTCTCCAAAATGGGGCACCAGAACCCACATGGCGAATCTTAGGATTATGATCCTATCAGATTGTGTTTCCCAGCTTGCCTGCTCACTGTCCCGGTTTGACTTGCAAAGTATAAAGATTATGTATGCATTTTCTGAGAAAGATAACCCAAGTAACAAATGCCTAAACAAATCGAATGTGTTGGACAAAAAGTGTAATATCACAGCCATGCTGTAAACTAACACAATGCAGTTACATCCTTTGATGAAAGAAGAAGACAATTTACCACTTTTAGAACTGTTTTAAACAGCAAATTATCTTTTTATTAGTGTGCATGTTATCTGTCCTGCAAAGTGCTATTGTTGTCATGTTGATTTCTGTTCTATTTTCTAAAAGGTATCTGCAATTTTGATGTTGTACCTATTCCAAGATAGCTGTATCAGTTGTATTGTTCTATAACTTTCCCAAAATTGCCAATAGCTGGCTGAAAGCTGATGCTGTGAAAGGTTGATTGTTTCGAGCAAGGTTTTGCAGATGCAGATTTCCCATTTCTGGACCTGAAGATTCTGCCGCTAAGCTACTAAGTGCTTGGTGTGATACTGTGAGCTGTTGATTTCAATGTCTTTTTTGTGTGTGCCTATGACATGTTGCTGAATGCTCTGAAATGGTGATTGGCTGATTAAGTTACAATGACATTTTATAATTTGACCATTTGGGCCATCAGTGAGCTGCAATTCTGGCATCAGGTCATTAGTGTTTGCACATCTGACAGCTACCTTATGTATTTCTACTTTGCATGAGCAAACTTCAGGATTCTGCTTGCACTGACAAGTGTTTCACTAGTTCCAGATGGAACAGTGAAGATCATTTCATGTATTTCCACTGGTAAAAGAACGGAGCAGTTATGGGGTGACACGAGTTCAGTTGATTCAAGAAACGACATCACAGCACTGGGAGTATTACCATAAGCACTTCATCCCCATCTTCAGCAGCCAGTGAAGAGTTCCAATATTAATAGTGCCAGTAGCATTCTGACTAAACATCCGTTTTGCCTTTCCTCTGAGCCTCGAGCATCTGCCAAAACTTTTCATCACTCCTTGCTGCATCAATCTTACCAGACTGTGGTGATCCATCTGCTCCTCTGAACTGTACACACTCTCCCACAAAGCACTACCCACATCTGCTTTATAATGCAGCACCAAGTTGTGCTGGGCCAGCCAGTCTGTCCCTCTGTTCATTTCCCAACACACCGGCGTATCCTGGTGAAAAAAACCAGACAATATTCCCCATCTGTGTCCTCCGCAGTGAAGCATGCCACTCCACAGTGAAGAATGCCTGTCCTGACCTTCTTCAGCATAGGGTGACACGTCTTCTGTGAAATAATTAACTAGCCCCATATTAACAGGATGAACATGATAGACGTAACAATTAACAAGAAAACGATACCAGACTACCTACCCCACATCTTGCAACACTTCCACTAGCTGACCTTTCTGTTCTGGAGCCATACGAGCAAACACAGCACCACGTACAACAATTTTGTTTAAAAGATTAGGACAGTGCTGACGTATAACTGCCCAGGTCTTTCCTGTGAGAGCAAAATGAAATCTTGGGCTGTTCTCATCGATTTGAATTTTCTTGTCCTGCAGATTAATAGAGGGGAGAATTAAACAGGACATCACAAGAACAAAGGTTTATGAGGTAAATCTTGTTGTTTGGAGTAGCCATTGATTGGATAATGAAAAGATGTTGCAAAGACAATACTGGCACTGATTTGGTAGAGAGTTGTTGAGTTGAGTTAAGAATTGACATCACAGCACTCAGGGAATTCCCGTTTGCGCTCTCTTCCACCTCTTCAGCAGCCAGCACAGAGTTGTAATACTAATAATTGTTGTAATACTTCTCTTCCCTCCCAACACAGAACCATCTGTATAGATGATCAAATCATCTGGACGAGAATTTCCATGAATCATCTGTTGGACAACTGATTGGGTCTAGAATAGATAACTGGAAGATCTGAATTTCACAGTTGATATTGTTCTTTTAAGTAAAAATTACAAAGATATGCACAGAAAAAATCGATTTGTCATCTTGTCTACAGCATAAAAAATAGGACGACAAATTAGTTTTAAGAAAACAAATATATTAAAGATACCAACAATAAATCATGTGGATGTCATTCTAGAGATCAAACCAATAAAATTAACCAACCACTCCACCTATCTGGGTAGTCATTTTGGCTTTAAAGGAGATGCTATGAAGGAAATTATGGTACGCACTGGCAAAGCAATAACAGTCTTTAAAAGCCTCATCAACATATGGAGCTCCAAGTTATATATCTTTAAGACCAAACTACAAATCTTCAGTTCCAATGTTTTTAAAATCCGAATGAAGGTTGAAGAACTACCAAAGATATGGAGCGAACACTAAATGTGATGATTAATTGTGATGGGTGATTTCAATGGAAGAATAGGTACAAGAAGATCACTGTGGGAAGAATATATGGGGCCAATTCAGTGATGCAGATACAGATTGTATCAGCAACGGAGAACATCTACTTAACTTGTATTCACAACAAGGTCTTATAGTAGCAAACAGTTTTTTCCATCGTCGAGGCAGTCATACCAGAACCTGGTATAAATGGGACAATTTAGATCAGGTTTCACAAATTGACTTCATTCTATTCAGGAAGACAAAACAAAGACAGTTAATAGACTCAAGCGTCCTACCAAGCAAAAACATTGTCACTGATCATAGACCAGTTATAATAAAAAAAGACACTAAGTTCAGAAAACCATGACATAAAATAGTAACCACAGATGTTATCAACTTTCGGAGGCTTCAGGATAATGTGGTTAAAGATGAGATTCAACAAGGAATGACAGAGCTACTAAATAACCTTCCAGGTGAATATTCAGACATCGATTCAGAGTGGACATGTTTTATGATGGCTGTGCTCAACACACTTCAAACCAAATGTGGAGTCAGAACAGTGGGTGGTGTAAAACATTTAAGAACTATTTTGTGGAACAACAAAGTTAAAGACAGCATATCCAGAAAGAAGGAGGCATATAAAAAATTACTAAACTCAAAATCACATCAAGATTATGTCCATTACAGATTAGTAAGAAAAGAAGCAAAATGCAAAATTAAAACATTTAAAGACGAGTCTTGGAGAAATTTGGTCAACAGATGGCTACCCTCAGCAAGAACTACCCTAGAGAATTCTATAAGCATATAAAAATCATGAGAGAAAGAGACATAGGCTACAACCCAACAACTATTATCAACAACAAGAGAGGCATACCTCTATTTAATCTACAACAGAGGTTGGCAAGATGGGCAGAGTATTTTCAAGAACTTCTCAACCTCACAGGCAATGAAGATAATTTTAACTTTGTACCTCAAAGCTGCAAACAAGAGGAACCAAATTTCATAGCAGCGGAAATAAGAGCAGTTAAACAAAACAGCCCCAGAAACAAAGCACCAAGTCTGGATGGAAATAATACAAAAGGGGCCAGGCTTGTGGAAAAGTGGGTGTTAAATGGCTTACTAGAATTTTTAATATAGCTTGGGAAGAAAAAAAAAGTCCCACCTGAGTGACAACAGGCACTAATAGTTACGTTATGGAAAAAGAAAGTTAGTAGGAGAGAATGTTAAGCATACAGAGGTATATCACTACTGAGTCAGATAGGAAAAATGTACGCCAAATTATTAGAACAGAGAGTTAGACCCATAGCTGAACAACAGTTGAGTGCATCATAATTCGGTTTAAGAAAAGGCAGAGGATGCACAGATGCATTATTCACTCTGAGGCAAGTGTGTGAGAGAGCCATTGAGTATAATACCAAACAGAATATTGTGTTTGTAGATAAAAAAAAAAGCATTTGATAGAGTGGAAAGAAGCAAACTGTGGTCTGTTCTTGAGAACTACGGGGTACAAGGACAGTTACTAGAGAACATCATAGCCAAGTGCAATAAGAACACAAGAAGGCATATCAGATATGTTCACAGTCAGCACAGGTGTGAGACAGGGATGTGTGGTCTTCCCACTTTTATTTAACATTTATATAGACAGAATATCTAAAGAAACAAGTTCTGATACAGACAACATAGATTTTTATAATCATGAGGAAGTACACACTTCAAGAGAAGTTATCGATTCACCCACATTAAAAGAACTACTATTTGCTGACAACCAGTGCTTGCTCTACCCTGAAAAAGATAGACTGCAAAATTATATTAACAGGTCAAACTCAGCATGCAGTAAATACAACATGAAGATCAATGTGTTTGCTGCCAGCATCATTTGATTCATTCTATGTGGCTGAATTTTCAGTTATTGTCTCTTAGAATTGTTACAATAGTTGTAATCCCTTCATTTCTCACATGACCTCTTCTTTTGGTAATATCAAATGTAAACATGCTTTCTTGTATTTAATAAAAGATTAATTATATTTCTTTCTTTATCTTTTGAGAGAAGTGCATCACATATCACTGTGTACTTTTTGAAGGTGGAGATAAATGTAGTCGACTTCAAAATGTACGTGATAAGATTAGTGATAAGAAAGGATTATCATCACAACACTTTGGACAGATCCATAGGTGCTCCGATCTCCTCCTGAAAAGCTCCACAAGTGTAAAACGACTTATGATGCCTGTTTTGTGTTGGTTAATGAAACATCTTGTCCCCTTAGTGAAATGTTAATTTCTTGCTGCTCCAGGCTGCACCCCGATGTCCATTAGTTTAGACAGGGATACAGAGTCATGTCCTTTGACGTGCTCCTCGGTACGGTGAGTGCAGTGCAAGGCATTGATGACATCACTTCTGTCCAATACTGGGCCAGCCATAGCAACAGCAGTGTCAGCAAGATAGTTTGCACGCTCGTTTCGTTGAACACTCGCATGACCTGGCATAAAGATGAAGGTTAGGGCAGATATTCATGAAGTGCTTAGTGTTGCAATCCATTTTTGCCTGATAAATCCAGCTTGGATTTTTTTAAGCATATTCATCGAGTCACTAAGAATGCATACGTGTGTGAACTTTTGAGTACCAAGCCATGCTAAAGCCCTTGTTACAGCCATAGTTTCCATTGTAAGACTACTAGGTGTAATAGCAAAGGCACTTCCCTTGCCCCCAATTACTGACCCATCTGTGTAAACTATAGCATCACCTTCATCTTTTTATCAATCAGTGTTCTGACTAAAGTGTCAACAATGTCAGGAATCTGCTCTCTACAGCTTCCATCAAGTGTGATATGGACTGTAATAATAATGTTTGGAGAGGGAGGCACAATTTTCCATTCAATTCCAAAATTAAAGTCAGTAAGGTGGCAAACATGTTCGATGCTATCCTCAGCCCGACCCATCCAGGATTTGCCTCATTTGAGTCTCTTGTTTTGCTTGAATAATTTCTTATAAAGTGGGTGTCGATGGTCTGACTTCACTTTGAGTAAATCAACAGCAACAGCAAGATGAACAAGGAAGAACAGAACAACAATTAATTTCCTTTGTCTAAAATGAATTAATGTCGCTTCATACCATGGCAACAACTTCTTCCACTTTAGTTCCACTGTCATCGGCATAGACAAACTCCAAGCTGACATCAGAATGCCCCATCTGTGGAGGGTAGGCCTGTACCAGGATGATACGGTCAGTTCTCTCCACCATTTGAACCTCTCTGGCAACACTCAGTGCTGTCAGCATATTGTCTCCTGGCCATCATCAAGCAATAAAATCAAAATTTAAAGACTAAAAAAACATATTTTCTTGCAAAAACAAAAACAATCTGACATAGATGACACGTTATATAGTGTGAGAGCCCTTTGGAAATGAGTGAACAGTGCAGAAGCGCAAATAGATCATCATGGTCTAAGGAGAATGGCGCTGCAAGGAGTTACCAGGGGATCTGGCCGACGCTCAACACTCAGGGGAAGGATAAGACGGACATAAAATCAGACGGTTACTGGTACCATCGGAATTGGAACTCTTCGCTTGCTGCTGAAAATGGGGACTGAGCACTTAGGGGAGCGTTCCGAGTGCTGTGATTTTGATTCTTAATTCAACATTCGACATACTTGCTATTATCAACAGAGTTCTAAATTCAACATAACAAAATTTGCATTTAATATTTCTTGATATCAGATGGTTTGCAATCAAACCCATGACTTTCAAACTGCAGGCAACCCTCTGGCTGCTACACAATGGTAGCTCCCAAAAGTGACCTTTATCAAGATGCAAAAGACTCATACCAGTAAGAAGATATAACGCAGTGAGAAATAAGAGTACTAGACACTTGCCTCAAGCCTAAGGTATTGAATTTGAATCTGTGTCAAGATGGACTTTTGTTTTTTTCACAAATGTCTTCTAGATCGGCCCAGCCTAAAATGGGTGCCAGGTAAGTTCTGGGAAGTAAAGGCAGCCCAGTGGGATGCTGACCAGGTCATACATAGATAGGTCTATAAAAATATGAGTATAGCATAGAGTTGCCAGATACTCCATCTTCCCCATATTCCTCCTGTGTTTTTCCCCTGCCCACATTTCTTTTCCTATGAAGTAAGCTTTTCATGTTGTTTGTAAATATTCTATAGCCTACTAGCAGTGAAAAATATTATAAACAAACAATGATCATCACTCCATATTTTATTTGATAAATTCTGGCAACCCTAGTCTAGCATTATATGCCTGGTGCGGCATTGGAATTTAAAAAAAAAAAAAGGTCCTTTACTTTTTATTTTACTGAAGAAAGAATGGAGTCACCTCACTTTGTATACATCATATCCAAAGAGCGGACAAGAGGGGGCGATAAACAAGGTTCATTACCTGTGACCATAATGACACGAATGTCTGCATCAATGAGCTGATTAATGACTGGAGCTGATTGGGGTTTGAGTCTGTTCTCCATGACCAGCAATCCCAGAAAGGTCAAATCATTCTCCACTTGATCTCTGCCAGTTAGAAAAACAACAAGCAGTTAGTTTTACAAACAATATCTAAGAGTTATCATGGTCCTTTCTGACCCATGCATTTTGTCTTGATAGAATTTGCTCGCATTAATTTCCTTTCCCAATATGGCAGAAAAAGTGTGGGGTGTGTAAAATGAAGGCAATAGAGAATGTAATATATTTCTAATCCCTACACAGGTGTCAGGAACCTAACTGTCTAGGGTTCGATTCCATTGGCTCTGCTGTAGGCTAATGACAGGAAAACACTGTTGACAAACACATTCAAGCCAACCACTGGTTGCAACACACACACAATCTTTATTATCAAGGATACAAACGAAGTGGAAAAACCCCTCAGGAGGGGTAGCGCTCCGTATTCTGAAATCAGGCCACGTCTAACTTTAAAATCGCTTAGAGGCACCTTTACATGTTCAAGATATAAGCTCTGAACCGCTACCACTCTCCCGTACAGTGCCAACTCAACCCGCTGTCTCCCGATGTCTCATCTGGTGCATTAGCTCATATTATTCCAACTGTTGCCTTGCAGTCACTAGTCTTATACTGTCATTTGATTTTTTTTTTAAAGCTATGCCTTAGAACAGGACACAATCGACTTCGCAGCCACATGAAGACAAAATTTAAAATCGGTGAATCAGCCATGTACACATGTGGACAGGCACCTGAGACAACAGATCATGTCCTCGAAGACTGTCATAAATACAACATATCAAGGCAAAACTTTTGGTCAAGAGAAACATTGGTGGTCGTTAAACGTTATGGGTCGCTGAGTGAATTACAAAAGACAGTGAAGTTCATACTAGAGACAACATATAGATAATAGATATAGATAATCTATTTCAAGCAAACAAAAGAAAAAGAAGAAGAAAAAGATTAAAAGAATATTTTTTTTTTTCAAAAAATTTTTTAGTAACAACAAGAGAAAGTAATGTCTGTCTAGGACTGAAAGAAAATTCTGACCACCCTTTGTTGCTAGTTTTTCTGAAAATATAAATATGAACTCTGAAAAGTTTAAATTCAACATGACTGGCCTAACAAATCTGACCTCTCTAAAGGTCAACAGAATTGGGCTAAAAATAAGACCACTCTGAAAGATTTAATTAAAGTCAACAGGATTGGTCTTAATTTAGACTTACCCTATGAATTGGTCTCTTTCCACAGAAAAGCTACCGCTGGCCGAGAGTATCACCCAATGCACATACTGCATAGTTCCAGTGATGATACCCAGAGATCTAAGTAAAATATGCACCCAAGTTCATGGAACAAACTTACCACCTTCAAAGCATGAACATACAGCCTAACAACTTAGCCACCAGAGACCCTTCACACTCTCTGATCACTATATATTACCCATGTTCTTATGATTAAGACTACCAGCTATACTCTTAGTTCTAATATTCGGGCCATCCCTGTGTGGATTTCAGGGCCCCATGGGGGAGGGGGTGGGGATAGAAACAACCCCCCCCCCCCCCTCCCCATATGCATATGTAAAAGGTGAATAATTAGAGGCTTCCAAAATCAGATTTGATAGGCCAGAAGGTCTAGCTGAAAACCACAACATGATAAACCATGATTGTAAGGGCAAAAGCAGAGAGGAAGAAAAATATATTCAGTCCTAATAAAATTGTCATGTTGCCCTTGTTCTAACAATTTTGTAATTAGAAAACTACTCACCTGGTAATTCTCTGAACCTTTACATAATTGAGCTTGGCTGGCAATGATTTCCAGGCAAGGGCAATCACTCTGTAGCCATGCTGAGTATAGGATTGTAGAACTTGCTGGAAATTGGATGGAACTGGCCAGAACAATTAACAAGCATATGACAAGAAATTATTATATATTTCCAAGGCACCCTGAAATAAATTATGAGTACATTGTAATAAGTTAATGATGATGATGATGATGATGAGCATTATGATGATGATGATAGCGTTTCTGTCTATGTCCATCATAGTCATATACAAAATGGACACAGGTAGCAAGAGTTGGTAACAAAGATCACCATGACTAAGGTAGAGGGACTCACATGGATATACTATCCAGGAGATGCAGAAGTATGAGGAAATGAAAGAGCAGATATTCTGGCTACAAAAGTGATTGATAACTAGAAGAACACTTACCTTGAACAAAACAGACAGTCTAAGACCATTTAAAAATAAATTGTTTTTTTTTTTAAAAATCATTTCTCAGGGGTACCCAGCCGTGTTGGGAAATAAACAGGCAGACAGACTGGCTGGTTTTGCCCCAATGGATGGTGAATTTACGCATGAAAAGCTAAAAGTGGTCAAGGCCTTTAGGAGTAAGTAAACAATGCAGATGCATGTTTAGATCATTATGATCTGGAGACAATGGTACAGCAAGGTGTGACCAGGGGATCTGCTCAATGCTTTACATCAAAGCTGTACAATTAAATTACTCTTGGGCCAAAATTTTGAAAATGGTGAGCATCATAGGCCAAAGGACTAAGCCTTAGCAAAGAAAGACAATAGAAGTGACAATGATCCACGGAAACCTAAGCAGCCATTCAGTTGGGCTCTCAGTCGACAAACAATCAAACCAAGGTCTGTCATTTAGTAGGACTTTTTGATGACAGACATGTCAATCTGCATTTGTCATTTGGTAGGGTACTTATGCCAGACTTCACTCATGTTCCAAATGAGTTTTCCATGCACACTATCACCCATGCATGTGGTTGGGCTGATGAGTGCTAGAAGATTTATAAGCACTGCATCTCTAGGAGCTATCAACTTTCAGGCTGGGACATATCTGGTCAACACTCTACACTTGGGATATTCAACTAAATGTACTTTATAGCCAACATTAAAAAAATGGTAATAGTCATGGGCCAGAGGACTGAGCCATAGCATAGAAAGACAATACAACTGACAGTGATCCATGGACCACTTGCTAGGCCTCCGAGGGCCAGATCTGGCCCACCGGCCACCAGTTGAATAGCTCTGCACTACAGTGAGAGAACAGGTAAGACGGACATTTAAACAAACTGCTGTGCTAATGGCACCATTTAACTGGAACTCTTCCCTGGCTGCTGACGATGAGGACAAACACTTATGGGAATTTCCTCAGTACTTTGATGTTGGTTCTTAGCTAGGGTCCACCAAATCTTGAGCTGATATTTTAAGCTGAAAATGTGACATCCAAAGCAGGTCAGTAAACCTCCCCTGATATCTATAATATTATTATTATTGTTATTATTATTATTGTTAATCATTTAGGAACTAATACATTTTAAGAAAATAAGATCATACAGGCCTCTAAATTTTATTAAGTCATTCTAATTAATTAATATCAAAACTATTTTCCTTAGTTGGATTGCCTGCCTTGTTTTATTTGTTCCACTAATGTAGTGCAAGAATCTATATATTTTCTTTTAGTTTGCAAATGTGAATATTCTTCTTCTTTCGTTCGCTTGAAATAAATTATCTATATCTGCAGTGATATCTCTAGTAAGAACTTCACTGTCTTTTGTAATTCAATTAGTGGTCCATGAAGTTTGGCTTCTGCCAGGTCACTCTTGGCCAGAAGTTTTGCCTGGAAATTTTGTATTTGGGACAATCTTGGAGAATGTGATCTGTTTTTTTCAGGTGCTAGTCCACATGTGCACATTTTAAATTTTGTATTCATGTGGGGCAAAGTCAACTCTGTCCTGCTCTAAGGTGTAGAATAATGTCTTGCTTTGGTCTGTCCATAATATGGTAATTGTCTTGTGCCGGTTTTGGTGGCTTTCTAATTGAGTTGATTATTCTCTTCTTCTGCTGATAAGAGACTGGCACGTCCGGTAGTTATTCAGTTGCACCTTCCTTAGCTAGTAATCAGCTCTTTCCTTTCCGGGAACTCCACAGTGCGACGGTATCCATTGCACAGCTACATTAGTTACACTGCACACTGTTTTGTTCTTCCTTGTCAAAAACTCCTTTCACTTCTGTCTTGATGTATATTGAAAACTTATACTCCTCTCTCCAAGAGTCCGTTTTGGACTGCATTTGAGGGAGCTATCAGTTGCAGGCAGATCAGTGGTTTGTCTGCAGAGACATTTGGCCTGGTGGATAAAACTGCTTCTTTTTTAGTTGCCCCATAGCTAGATTTTGGAATCTTTCATTCATAGGGTGTGTAGGGGTGCTAAAAAATGTGTCTGCTTGTATTAGCATCATGGTGTCTTTGTATTCATTCACTGCTTTGGTCATCCCCATTTTCCCCATCACAGCTATATGTATTCATTTCATACCACTTGTTGCGACTGAGCAATTAATTTTGCACTTTATCTTACTCTCGTAGTGTGGTTTTTTATGCTGGACTCTAAGCTGTAGCCATTTGAGGTATGGTCAAACACTTTGTTGATAAACTTTCCTAAGTAATTTCCCACTAGCATCCCATGTGGTTCTACTTAGTTTTCTCAGGATAACTACCCTCCTTCTGGCTTTTGTTGCTGCCGTGTTGATGTGTTTTTCTCAACATTAACCTATATTTGTATATAACTATGGTTGTATGTTATATTCTCGAGCTTATTCCTAGATTTTTATTAAAAAAAGGGACAAATTACATTGTTTGGGATGGCTGACACTAAAAAAAATGGAACTGTTGCAGTGAAAAAAGGATGTACAATCACAAATAGTCACCCTATTCTTTGCTCAACACTCAGCACACTTGAATGGCAGTTAGTCTATAACATGTGTGTCTAGTACCATATGCTCTTAGAGCCAATGGCATGATAAAAACTGTTTACATATATTTAACCTGTTTTTATTGTTGGATGCTCTATGAGAAGTAAGATGTTTGCGAGAACCAAGTGATGACTTTGAATCTGCAACCATGACCAGACTTCAAGAATAGCAGGTTAAAAGGGGTGTGGCCTGACCAGAGCACTATGCGGGAAGCCAAAGAAGTATAAGAAGCCAACACAGAACTGGTATCATGAGCTGCTACCCCCTGTGGGATTCACTAAGGAGGGGATGTGAAAACTTATGGACTAAATAGTTCTATGTGCAATGATGATAATCTGTCGACCAACTAACTAACTTTACCTGTTTCAGGATTGGACAGGCTGCTTATCATCTCAGGTGAGCCTTTCACAAAGAGATCAAAGTTGTTGGCTCCAAGAGTTCTTGTGATCACAGACATCCTTTGGAGGCTGGAGGAGAAGGGGAACTGACGAACAATGCCAACATCATTACCACTCAGCTGGGGAAGAAAGAAAGTACTCACTTTATTCATTTTACAATAACTAGAAGATTCAAAATGACATGTAAATGGCATGCTATTATATCAAGATGGACACAGGTGAGAGAGTGAGGTCGATGAATTGTGCAACTCTTCCTCACCTACATCCAACTCCTTGCACAAGTCACTTTCATCCAGTTATCATCCGCACTGCTCAAGATCTTTCCAGGCTCATATTGATTAATCAGCCACCTTAGCAACACAGATTATAACCATGAAAGGTCTTCTGGTCAAAATGGACGGGCACTGTTTGGAGCCGAGACAAATTTTTTGCTTTAGCCAGACCATGGCCATTGCATTTTTGCTTCATTTGTAGACTGAAAGGATATAGTTTCGTCGTCCAGCTTCTGAGTGGAATGCATGGCATGACACTGTGAGCTGTGGATTTCATTTGGAATGTTTTTTTGACTGTGACCAACGTGGTGGTGTGAATTGTAGATTCAGAAAATGGTGCGCTGCCTGTTGTCGCAATGTTGGTGGTGCCCTTAAGTGATTAAAATTGATCAGGTGTGAAACTGCTGATCTGTTGAGGACTTCTGCTACCATCAATGATAAACTGCATTTCTAATATCGGACTGTTTGTGTTAGCACTTCGGATGGCAACCATATGCTTTTAATGCGTGTGTATGCTAGATATGCTGAGATAGCAGTCTGTCAATCTTTCCACAGGGACTGTGATAAACATTCTGTGTGTTTTTCATTGGCACAGGAGCGGAGCAACAATGGGGTGACCTGTTTGCTATGAAGCTGAAACTAAGGCTACTTACTAGACTACCAGATGAAAATGATTTCCTCAAACAACTTAACAAAACAGACCAAGTCACATTTTTCCACTTACGCAATGGACACTGCAGACCCAGCAAACACTCATATAAATTAGGTATGAGCCAAACAGCTCTCTGCCAGTGTCTTTGTGCTTAACAGACTCCAGAACATGTCCTGCAAGACTGTTCTCGCTTTGAGCCACACCAAATAGACCTGACAACTAAGTTTCGGGGAAACCTAAGAGACCTTGAGATGACATCCCCAGTTTATGGCGCACAGTATTATGTGCGTGACCAGAGACCACTGATGAAGAAGAAGAAGTTTAGCAGTCTATAAGAACCTAGAGCCTCTGAGGGATAAACTAACCCAGAACTTAGAACTTTTGAATTTGTTAGGAAACTGAATAAACTATAAAGTGTTATTCTCAAATTTGGATACTTAGGTACTTACTGCTCTTATAGCAGCAAAATCATGCCAGGTGAATAATTTGTTTGTAAAATGTTGCTTCTGTAAACATAACACCTGCAGAATTCTTTATATTTATTTATTTATTTTTAAAAATCTTTTTTGAAAATCTTCTAACAATAACAGCATGGTGTGATGCTGACATCACCACTCAGTCCTGATTGGTCTATAAAATTTAGGTCCAGCCCTATATTCCCAATACGCCTACAGTTATGGCAAAGGGTTCTTTACTTTTAAACATACTACATATCATCAGATTCCAAAATGTACATTCATCCTTCTTAAAAAAACATATATAATTTTGTATGTATTAGGAATATGTTACATTCTCTGTTGCAATTTTTTTTAACACTACCTTTTCTGCCATTTTGTAAAGAAAAATGTATGCGAGTCTGTCAAAATGCATTCATGGGCGTGAAAGAGTTAATAAGAGCTAAGTGAAACAACAAAGAGAGCCTTACAGCTTCAGCAGAGCCATGAACTTTTGATGAGGCCTGTGGTCTGACAATAGTAGGGGTCATCATATCAAACCTGGTTTCTTCTGGCCCTGGTTCTTCCAAATCCTGATATTCAGATAAAATTACAATAAGAAAATGTGTATATTTTATTACATCTAGATTCTCATATGCAAAGTAGGATGAAAACACATACAATTCTTACATACAGATTATGAAATTTAAACTAACAATGGAAATAAAAATGCATGTAATTTGTACATCTAGATTCTGATATTTAAAAAAAAGTTTGAAAAAAACAAATTTTGAAAACACATAATTTCAACAGAAAATAAACAGAAGTTAACAATTTCTACATGTTTATTCTAAAATTTAGACAAAAATACATGAAGAAAACACTTGTAAATTCTACATCTAGATTCTGACATTTGAATTTACTTTTTGAAAATGGGTCACCAGTTAACTGGCTTATGAAGTTATCCCTATTGGATAGTTGCCAGTACACTGGCGTATCATGGAGACACTCACATTTTGTTTCTGTTGGTGGGGAAAATGTACTTTAATGAACAAGTTTTTTAAAAATTAGGATTAACAACAGGATGTCCTTCTGTTTGCAATGTCTCAGTGGCTTTTGCATCACTTTATGATTTTTAGAAAATAATTTATTTGTGATACAATTATTACGTTTTTTTCTATACTAAATAAGTAAAAGGTCTAGAACTGTTCATACTGCTCTGTCGTTTATGAATCTCTGCCAGATGGTGACAATAGTCATGATAATATGATTGCTTTCTAAGTGAAAAATCTATTGGCGAAAATTTAGTTTAGGATATAAAAACTGAACAAAATATTTCAATTGGATCATCTGTTTTGATCAGCTGTTTTCCTGATTTTCGTTTGTTGTGAAATCAAACATGTCATACAAAAATGACCCTAGCATCCAAAGTATTTAAACTAACTGTTTCAAATAAAGACCAGATGATGCATAAATGAACAGAGAAGGTATGTAAATTTAGAATTGGATACCAGTGTTGTTGAACAAGTAAAAATATAAGGTAAGCACACAATTTTTTTATGTAAATAATCTTCATATGTGTCTAACATCCTTGAAATTTGTATGATTTTAATAATATTTTGTTGTAATACTGACACCTAAATAGTTTATATTTATTTTACACCCATTTATATTTAATTTGATGTCCCGATACAGCCAATACTTTTTATTTAGGGAGGTTTTAGCTTTCTCGTGTTGCAGTAAAAAAAAAAAATTCCGCTAAAAATTAATGCTGTCCAAAACCAGAAAAAAAGTGATGTTGAAAAAGTTATAAAAGAACAAGCTGAAAATATATGGAAATTTTACATCTCGACAAATGTAAATGGATGTTAACAATATATGGAGAAGACTAGCTGGCTTTCTTTTAGAAAAATATCTGCATTTTCCTCTTCTTAGTTGATGATACTCCAAGAATCTTGAGGTAAAATTTGATTCAGAAAACCCGAGTTTCTTAAATGCTACTTACCCACTTAGTAGCATTAAACATTATGAGATCCAGTGGGTCGCCCATCAGCTGATTTTCAATTATGGTCAGCGAATGACAAGCGGCCATAGCAGTTACGATTGGGCCAGTACCAAGCTGATTCATATCTTTTATTATTGGCTGAAATCTGGAAAAATAGCAACACTTAGATCGCAACAAATTTAGAGTGGATAACTAATCAGTGTTTCCACCAAAATATTCTGGCCATACTGCCTTAACTAGCATGACAGAAAACTGGCATCAGAATATTAACAATGAGAAAATATGTGGCAGGGTGTTTATAGTCTTTAAGAAAGCTTTTACAATGACAGACCATAATATTCTAATGAGAAAATTAGAAACAATGAAATTTAACCCTATTAAAGTTAATAAATCCTTTTTGTTAAACAGAAAAATTATCTTATTCAATAAATCCCTATTGTGGACCACTGTCTTAAATAGTGAGGTACCTCAAGTCTGGATTCTCGACCCACTATTATGCAGTATTTACATAAATTATCTTCCCCTATGTCTGTCATCGTCCTGGGATTTATTCGCAGATGACTGTACTATCTACACAAATGCTCAATGCTTGTAATGTTCTAGTCTTCATTGCAACAAGAATTAAATAATGTAGTCAGAGGGGGCACTGCAAACCGTATGCAAAAAAAAAATTAATAAAACAAGATCTGTGCTAATAACGACCAAACAAAAACTTTATAGCGAGCACAAAGCACTAACTAAGGTTGGTCATTGATGCAAATCTAACCTTGAACAAGCACTTGTGAAACAAACAGCTAAAAAGGTTTACCAACTTTTAAAAATTAAAAATTTCTTAATGAAAACACAAGAAAGATATTCTATGTTTCTCACATTCAGACATATATCTATTTCTCTACAATATGGGATAGCTGTTCCATTTCTGTTATCAAGCAGCTCACGTCACTGCAAAAGCGGGTCATTTGCTTGGTAAGTAATAATCATGGACAGTCAGCTGCGAAACATAAAAAGGTCTTATACTCAACCACTTTGTGGATGTCTATTTTTTAATAAGGCAAAATTTATTCACAAAATATTATCACAAAAAGCTCCACATTATTTATGGCCATTGTTTAAATATAATAGAAGGCATAGCAAACGTCTAAACAAAATCCATATCCCTAAACCTAGGATAAATCTATACAAAACAAGTATGGCATACTCTGCAGCTAAATTGTGGAACTGTCTTTCCACACCATGTCAAAAATACCACAAATCACTATACATACAATTGGAAACCATAGAAGATAAAAAAAATTTTAGAAATAGCACTCACTTTTCCAAGATTTATTACAACTACTATGGTTTATTGCAGTTAGAAATGTCTCCAGTGCTTATATTTAATATTTTGATGCTATTGATAATGTATATTTACTATTAATTGATCTATGAATGAAATGATGTATGAAAGAAGAGAGAATAGAAGGGCAGAATGGTAGACGGACGTGGGTGCCCAGTTCTTAACCCTTGGAAAATAAAGTATGTTCGTTCGTTCGTTCTTTCATTTGTTCATGCCAGTAAAAATCATATAAAATGTCCTTCTCTGTGCCATTGACAAAAAAAAAATAATAATGAAAACATGTCAGCCCAGCAGAATCTTGAAGCTTACACATGCAAAGTATATCACAAGGCAGCTGTCAGATGTTTTAATTTTTCTGTAAGTAAAAATAAGGGACTGGCTATATGCTTACCAGCTGATCAATGTTCTTGGGTTGGAATCTGCACCCTTTTTCTTTTTCTCTTCCACCTTGTACCTCAGCGAAGTGTCAGAGGGAGATGTAACGTTCGTTGATGAGCTCTGTCAAGAGCACTATTAAGACTGATGTTCATTTCTGTAAGGCTGTTCTTAATGCCATCACTCCATATTTTCCGAGGTCTTCCACTTGCTCTATAAACATTGTAATGTTTTAGTGTGGTTTGCTGTGGCAGATAGTAACAGGGCATTCTTATTAGGTGTCCAAACCACTTCATTTGTTGTTCTTTGATGACTAGAAAGTATGACTTTATTGCTAGCATTTGTCTGATTTCGTGATTTTGTATTCTGTCTTTCCTTAAAACTCCTGCAGCTCTTTTAAGGCATTAAATATCTGTTGTCACAATTTTACGTTCATTGGAGGATTAAGTGCCCACGTTTGGCACTGATAGCATAATGTTGGCCAAAAAATAGTTCTGAAAAGATTCACTTTAGTACTCCCGGGTATCTGCTTGTATGTCAACAGGGAAGATAGTTTCCCCATTACTTGATTAGATTTGGCACATCCTGAGCTAATGTCTGTTCTAAAAAAAATTATGATTTGGTTCCAGAGTCAACCCAGTCTAAAAGGAATACCAGGACATTTACTAGGAAGTAAAGGCTGGCATCATGAAAAGCATGGTTTATGTTAAAGACAAATACACACAAAAAAAATTATTGCATTGTTTTTAGTGTTGACAAAAAATGGGGGAAATTACAGAAGGTAAATAGAATATAGGAGACAAATGAAAGGATTGACCTACTTGGATTTTTCTACTTTGACCACTCCATGCATGTCCAAACCATCCTCTGTCAGAGTGCCAGTCTGGGAACACAAAATTAAACAACACTGGAGTAAAAGGAATGTCAATAATCGATGTCATGAAAAGATTGTTGACATAATATTGCCAATTGGTTTATAACAATATGAGTCTAGCAACATAGTCTTCAAAGCACCACTGACATAAAAAAGAACTGTTTCTTATCGGTCGACTGATCAGATTTTTTCATCTGGACTGAAAAAAAAAAGTCCTGAGATTAAAACAATCTAAATCTGCATGGCAGACCAATAAAGTAGATCCCAGACACCCTGCTCAACTTCCAAAGAAGTTAAAAAAGTAAATATAAAGAACCCTTTTCCACACCTTCAGGCATATTGGGCATAGGAATATAGGGCTAGACCAATATTTTATAGACCAATCAACACTCGGCGGATGATGTGGTCAACATCCTGCAAGAGGTATAATTAGGGCACCCGTAATGGCTAAACCAGGGAGGTGTAACCTGCAGTCCTTTGGAAGTGAGAACCTTGATCCACTTCTTACTTATACTTTCTACCATATAGTGTTGCAATGTTTCCTGTTTCGACCTCTGTCAAGAAAAAGCTATATGGTTCGCAGGCAGATTTGGCCTGCACAATAACTTTTATCTCCTCTTGATTTGAATCTTCATTGAGTTGGGTTTTGTCAACAATGGAATTGGTCCCCAGGCTGACTGAGCCTAAAATTGGTACAAGGCAAACTAACAAGAAGTAAAGGTGGCCGCATGATGTTAACCACATCACTCACAGAGGGCTAATTGGTTTACAAAGTTATGTCTAGCATCATGTTATGTGCCACTGGTATAAATAAAAAAGAAAGATCGTTTACTTAAAAAAAAAAATTATTGGCCTAGTAATATACGTTTTTTGAGAGAAGGAACAAAGCAAAGAAAGATAGTGTTGACTGACAACAGAAGCTATTAGTGCCAATATAAACACATCAACGGAATTGCTACATAGATTATTTAGTAAAGTCTGGGAGACCGAAGAAATACCAGCAGACTGGAAAGAAGGATATCTTATGAAACTGCCCAAAAAAGGTGATCTACAGGAGTGTGAAAACTATAGAGGAATTATGTTGCTGTTCGTTCCTGAAAAAATACTAGGTAGAATTATTTTGGAAAGTATTAAAAGATGCTATTGATTAAAAAGTAAGAGATGAACAAGCAGATTTCCGGCCGAACAGATCCTGGACTGACCAGATAGCCACATTATGTATAATAATAGAGCAAAGCATTGAACTGAATTCACCACTTCACATTGGATGCATAGACTATGAAAAAGCTTTTGACAGCAATGATAGGGAATCTCTCTGGAAATTAATGTAAAAAAAAAAAAAAAGTAAAGGACCCTTTTCCACACCAGTAGGCATATAGGGCATATAGGGCTAGTCCTAAATTTTTATAGACCAATCGGCACAAGATGAGTGATGTGGTCAGCATCACGCCAGCCGCCTTTACTTCCCGTGACTGCACCCCGTACCCACTCAAGGCTGGGTCGACGTGGGAGCCAAGGTCATTTTTGAAAAATGTCCGGATTCACCATGGAGCAAACCCACGACCTTGCGATCTGCTGCGAGCGTCTAGCCGCTGCGACTCCCATTAACTTAGTAAAAGACATGAAGTGTTGTGTTTTTCATGAGGGAAAGCTAACAGATACATTTGTAATAAAAACAGGTGTGCAACAGGGGTGTCTTTTGTCATCTCTTCTATTTCGACTGGCAATAGACTGGATAATGAAGACAGCAACTGCTAACACCAGGAATGGAATTGAGTGGACTCCTATGAAACAGCTTGATGATCTAGACTTTGCTGATGATATTTCTTTTCTGTCCCATTCAAGGGATTAGATGCAAGATAAATTAAATACACTTGATGCAAAATCACAGCAGCTAGGTCTGAAAATCCATAAAGGAAAGAAAAAGATAAGAATAAATCAGGCAAATAGTAGTGTGGTTTCTCTTAATGACACCCCACTCCAAGACGTGAAGTTGTACACCTAACAGCAATGTAGATAAAGATGGAATAACTTAGAGAGATATTAAAATAAGAATACAAAAGGCCTGAGGAGCTTTCACAGCACTAGGGAATTTGTGGAGGTCAAAAGAAATTTAAAGAAATATTAAACTTAGAAATTTTTTAATCTGATGTCAAAACAGTACTTTTGAATGGTGCCGAAACATGGAGAACAGATATTCATTAACTGGTGCCTGCTCAGAATAGTGGGAATTAAATGGTATGAAGAATCACTAATGTAGAGCTATGGGAGAGAACTAAGCAAGTTCCAGTGGACCAAGAGGTGAAGAAAAGACACTGGGGTTGGATATGACATACAATGAGAAAGCCAGAGAACAATAAAACTAGAATGTCTTTGCACTGGAACCCACAGGGACATAGGAATAAAGGAAGGTCAAAAAACACATGGAGAAATGATATGGAGAGTGAAGTTAAAAAGATGGGGACATGGAGAAAGTTGCATGCGATAGCAAAGGATAGAACAACTTGGCATGAGTTGGTTGACGGCATATGCTCCTCTAGGGGCTCAAAAAGCAGAAGAAGAAGAAGTAGAAGAAAACAAACAGAGTTACCAACCTTGTCAAAACAACAAGTGTTGATGGTCCCGCTGATGCTGATGCCTCTAGGACTGATGCAATAAATATTTTGATCCTGCAGTCTGCTCTGGGAGAAGACCACACCGACTGCCAGAGCTGCAGGAAGAGCTGGAGGGACGGCAATAGTGACCAAATCAAGAGCTCTGATAATAATATCTTTGGGTGTATCACCATTTAATACCTGGAAGTGATTAAAAAGATCGTTATTTTGTTGAATAAACTTGCTCTATCTAATGAGAAAGTATCAAAATAAGGTGACTGCAATAAAGCTTTGAAAACTATCTACATAATATTTAAATTGAGTCAATTGAGACACGCCAGGTAGATTAAACTGGGAAACAAATTCTTGCAGAAGTCGGACATGTCTACTGAAAGGTGCAGCCATCTTGTAAATGGGCACAAAGCATTTATGTCTTCAGAAGAAGAAAAAGAACATTTCACAGTCAGTTCATTTTTGGTCATGAATTTTATGTCTTATCATTGTTCTTCTGGTCAAGGTTAATTTCCACAACATCCTTGTTAAAGTTAGTTGCATATCCTTTACAGGACATTGCAGAACTAACCCCAGCATTTTTTGGCTGTTGTGGTTGTTCAAGGAAAATGTATGTCCAGTAGTTTGCCATTGCTTTCTGGATGGTTAGCTTCTTGATACCACTGTTGAAACTCACACAAGGCGCAAGGCCTGTAGCTGCGATCGAACCCGGCACCCCAGCATTACGAAGCGCGTTCACAAAGCCTAAGTCATGGACTTAACTCATAATATCCTTGTTAGTCTGCTGCAATTGGATATGCAATGCAGACATAATTTTGTGTTTTTCTTTTTTATCCCCTTTTTCTCATGTAACAGGACAATGGTGCTTTTCTTTCTTTATGTTTCCTGGGTATTCCATTACTTTAGAAAAAAAAAGAAAAAAAGTCTCAATCTTAGTTGTGGGCACTGAAAGAGGAGATAGACTGGCTGGCACTCCTACTGTATCAGAAGGTTAACCAATAGGTGAACATTATGTGCTGTTTGACATTCAGTCATGGCAGTTTAATGGCAGTCTAGTGGCAGTTTAATGACAGTTCAATGGCAGTTTAATGACAGTTTAGTGGCAGTTTAATGACAGTTTAGTGGCAGTTTAATGACAGTTTAGTGACAGTCATTTAATGGCAGTTTAATGACTGTTTAGTAACAGTCGTTTAATGGCAGTTTAATGACTTTTTAGTGGCAGTTTAATCGCAGTTCAGTGGCAATTTAATGACAGTGTTTAATGACAGTTTAATGACATTTTAATTACAGATGATTAAATAATATATATATTAAAGAGATGTTTTAAAGAAATTGATTGTGAAATTATCTGACACATTTTTATAAACAAAAGACAATTTATAACAGTGATAAAAGCAAAATTGATTTTAATATGAAAGACATAATTACATTTGATGATTACAATGACAACAATAAAATTAATAAAAACAGTGATGTAAATAACTGATGATAAAAACAGTGATATAAGTACCCAAAAAAAAAAATGAAATAAGTTAAATGTATGACACATTAATTAATGAACAAAAAATGTGACGGTAAAAGCAATCTATATTAATAAAAATTTTAATTTTCCGAGTTTGTTATATCTAAACTCGGAAATTACTAAACAGATTGCTTTCAAATTTTCACACATCATTGCCTCTGACCCAAAGCGTGATTTTTTGTCATAAAATCGCACAAACCACGAACGATGTAGCTCCAGCAACGGTCAAATCATTATTTGTTTCGTTGCTGGCCCTTATTTGTTTTTAATCGATTAGCCACCTTTGACTGCGTAACACCCAACTTCACATTATTATTATAAACTTTCATTTCTACTAAATGTTTGAGTATTTAGTAGCATAGTTAGTTGTAAGCATTTTGCTTTTTACTCTGGTGATAAGAGTTCGATTCCCCGCTGGGTGATATAATTTTTTTTGGACTCCTAACTGGGTGGCTGCCACGTTTTGTTGTGGTTTATAGCTAGGCTGCAATATCTACGCTTTTTTCCATTCGATTTTGGGGTTTACAGCTAGCCTGCGATAGCAGCGACGTGATGCTCAATGTTCATGTCACGGGTAATATTCGTTCTCCCTTGAGAGGGCGGTTGGCACATTGTGTTGTGGTTTATGGCTAGGCTGCGAAATCTGACCTAAAGTCTTCAGTCTTCGGTAGTAGAGTTGTAAGTATTCCACCCTTTACACGAATGACCGGTGTTTGATTCCCCGCTGGGTGCTAATTTTTCTTTTCCCTCTTAAGGGGTGATTGGCACATTGTGTTGTGGTTTACAGCTAAGTTGCGACATCTGTGCCTTATGCCCAAAGACATCTGATTTCAGTACAGTCCCAATTAGCCTCCCCCCGATGCTTCACTCGATCAAAGACTATTCGTTGATGACAGAAAATGTTAACTAAGAAGGCTTACGGTCTAGTTTAGTTTGGGTTGACACGGATGCCAGGGTTAATTAAACATGGTCACTTCGGAGAGGGGGAGATGATGAGTGCGGGTTTTTATTTCCGCTATATGTGAGTATAGTGTACTTTTTTTTTTTAAATAACAGAATATTACTGTGGGTTCCACCACTGGTTAGGTGATGGAGTTTTATGTCGGGGACATACTTAAACTAAACAGTCCGTGGGGACAGCATGCGGCGCCAACTCCTCTGGCTACAACGACCTGTACAGACAGTAGTGACCGTTTTGTGTTGTTGTTGTTGTGGTGACGGTGGTGGTGGTAGTGGTAGCAGTAGTACTGCTACTCGATGGGTTATGTGGTAGCTGTTGCTCTGGCCACATGTAATTCTCAGTACAGATTAATGCTACCCACTTTTGTCTTGGTGGACACGGATGCCAAGCCCAATTTAACAACAATATTTCGTCAGGCGATGACTTTCACATACTTCAGAGGAGATGGTATGATTGAGACGGGGGGTGGGGGGGGGGGGGGGGGGGGGGGGGGGGGGGGGGGGGGGGGGGGTTATTGAGGGTGGTTGATGCCAGACACTGTTAACTGAAAGAGCTTAAAACATTATTTTACAGTTCTCATTTCTTAACTATTTCTATTTTAACAATGTCGCCACATAATAATGTTTCAATCATTCGGAGAGGGAGATATAATTGGGCAGATGCATGAGTCCTTGGTAGCGTAGTTGTATATTTTGCGTGTTACGCGGGTGACCGGTGATCAATGCCCCGCTGGGTGATTAAATATTTTTTTTGTTGCCCTTAACTAAGCGGCTGGCACATTGTCTTGTAGTTTACAGCTAGGCTGCGATATCTACATTTTATTCCCGCTAGGTTTAGGGGTTCACAGCTAGCCTGCGATAGCGGCGATGTGATGTTGGTCATGTCATGGGTAATCTTCGTTCGCCCTTGAGAGGGTGGTTGGCACGTTGTGTTGTGGTTTACAGCTAGGCTGCGATATCGGACCCAAACTCTTCAGTTTTAGGTAGTATAGTTGTAAGTATTCCGCCCTTCACCCGGTTGACTGGTGTTTGATTACCCACTGGGTGCTAATTTTTCTTTTTCCCTCAAGGGGGCTGTTGGCATGTTGTGTTGTGGTTTACAGCTAGGCTGCGATATCTGCACCTTTCACCGAAAGACATCCGATTTCAGTAAAGTCCCATTTATCCTCCCTGCGACGCTTCACTTGATCATAAACTATTCGTTGATGACAGAAGCTGTTAAGTAAGTCTGCTTACAGTCCAGTTTACTTTGGGTGGACACGGAGGCCAAGGTCATTTAACATTCATCCCTTCGGAGAGGGGAGATGACAGTTGGGTTTTTATTTCCGCTATTTGTGAGTATAGAACGGACTATTACTGTGGGTTCCATCACTGGTTAGGTGATGGAGTTTTTTTTCTGTTTCTTTGTTGGGAGCTCAATTACACTAAACTGTCCGTGACGACAACATGCGGCGCTAACACCTCTGGCTACACCGACCTGCACAGACAGTAGTGACTGTTTTTTGTTGTTTTTGTTCTGAAGGTGGTGGTGGTAATGGTAGCAGTAGCACTGGTACTGGATGGGTGATGTGGTAGCTGTTACACTGGCCACATTTACTTCTCAGTACACATTAATGCTATCCATTTTTCTCTGGGTGGACACGGATGCAAAGCTCAATTTAGTTGCAATATTTCGTCAGATGATGACTTTCCCATCCTTCGGCCAGGATGATATGAATAGTGGAAAAAGGGGGGGGGGGGTGGTGGGTTATGGCAGACACTGTTAACTAAGAGGGCTTAAAAAATTATTTTCAAGTTATCATTTCTTAACTATTTCTATTTTTATTATTTCGCCAAGTGATGATTTTTTATTCCTTCAGAGAGGGAAATATTATTTGGGGAAAAAGGGGAGGGGGTTATGCCAGAGACTGTTAGCTGAGAGAGCTTAAAAAAATATTTTCAAGTTCTTATTTCTTAACTATTTCTATTTTAATACTTTCGCCAGGGATGATTTTTCAATCCTTCGGAGAGGGAGATATGACTGGGTAGAGAGGAGAAGGAATGAGGGGGGAGGGGGGGGAATGAGGGTTATGACAGACACTGTTAGCTGAGAGCTACTTTCTTTATTTTCCATTTCACCATTCGGGGCCACAGCAACGCGTGGCAGGGCACAGCTAGTACTATTATGAAAATTATTAAATCAAAAATTGAGAATAACTACCATAGCCTAACACTGAAAAGTACTGATGATATTACAGAATCCTGTGGTTGACATGGGATGATATTACATGGCTCCGAGGCAACAGTTTTTGATAGCATGTTGCACTGTGCAGCCAAAAGAGTGACCCAAAATGATTGTTTATATGGTTGCAGAGACAATGCCAGCCTTCGTGACTGACCATTTCCCCAAACAGTAGGCTGCAATTCTGGTGTTAGACTATTAATGTTGGCACATCTGACAAATGCTTTATGCATTTTTATTATGCATTTACAAACTCATAAGATTTTGCTGGGATTACCAGGTTTTACACTAGCTTTCAAATGGGACAGTGAAAGACATTCTGTGCGATCTCCACTAGCAACGAAATAGTTATGGGGTGCCAGTCTGCACTTATGTCGGAACATTGACTAACTAACTAGCAGAATGTAGTTGAACAGATACAAAGGTGCTGAGCTACATGTGGTGGTGCCTCAAGACCAGGTTTTATAATAGTGAAAATCTATCTACACCACTCTTGTTATCCCAGAAACAAGCTCCTGCCTGGGAGGCTGGCCAATGTAGAGAGGATCAATATTTCTTTTAAAGTCAAAGTGCATCTGCCTGAGAGGCAAAGAAACCAATAGTTTCTATCTATCCTAATTATAACCCAGATGGGTTAAACAAGACGGATAACATTGTTTAAACCCCAACAACAACAACTACTACTACTACTACTACTACTACTAATACTACTAGCAACAATTTGCACACAAATGTTCCAGATCTGTAGATGTACATGCAACACTTAAGTCCTGGAACAAGGCCAGTCCAGAAATGGATTAACAACAAGGACAGTCGACTGGAGTTTACAGTTGGTGAACGCTAAGATAAAGAAGAAACAACTGAACAGGATATTTGGAATTTGTTCCTGTGGGATTGGCATATAAAAAGATGGCTCCTTGAGTCACTGGCTATTAAACCTTCAGGTTACACTCTCAGTTGATGAATTAAACAAAACTAAAATAAAAGAACAATGATATAATTTACACACACACACAAAAAGTGGATGGAAAAAATATGCAACATTCCTCTATGATTTGACAAAATTACGATGTGACCTGGTCAGCAGACAAGTAACCCACCATTTTGTTTAGCCAGTGAGAGATGGGTGGTCACATGTGCAGCCAGGAACTAAAAAGCAAACTTTAAATAAATTATGTTTTAAACTCAGAAAAAAGTGCTGTCTCTCACCATCAAAACAATTGTGTAGATAAAACCAAGAGCAGCAATGGCGGCCAGAACCATTATGAAGTAGTAGGAATGTCTCTGGAATTTGAAATCCACTGGTTTAGGAAACATGATGGACCTGACCAGTTCTCCTTTGGATGTTGAGAAACCTGGGAAAGACAATCAGCGAAAAGACAAGAGAGTGCCAGTAAAAACAAAAAGAATGTGTAAAGTAAGCAAAGTAAAGCAGACACAATTATGTAAATAAAAGTTGTATGATCATAAAGCAAGTAAAGAAAGCAAAAGAGGTAAAGAAAGTAAAGTAAAAAAAATGTAAAAAGTAAGTAAAGTAATGATAGATAACTAAGTAAAAAGAAAGTAAAGTTAGTAAATTAAAGCAAGGAAAGTAAGTAAACAGTGAGTAAAGTAAGTTAAAAAAAAACAAGTGAAGTAAAGCAAATAAAGTAAGTAAAAATTAAATAAAGTAAAGCAAGTAAAATAAAACAAGTAAAGGTAAGACAAGTAAAGTAAAAACAAGTAATGTAAGTAAAGGAAAGTATAAAGCAAGTAAAATAAAGTGAAATAGAGCAAGTAATTACAATTAAAATAAAGTAAATTAAAAAAAAAACAAATGAGTAGAACAAGAAAAATTAGATGAAAAAAAAAAAGCAAAGTGAGTAAAAAGTAAAGTAAAGCCTGTAAAGTAACATAAAGTAAAATAAGTAAACATGGTAACTAAAGCAAATTAAACTTAAAAAAGTAAAGTAAGGCAAAAAAGTCTGTAAAGCAAAGTAAGGTAAGTGAGAAGTAAGTAGAATAAACTAACTCAAGTAAAGGAAGTAAACAGTAAGCAAAGTAAAATAAGTAAAGTAACAGAAAGCAAGTAAAGTTAAAAAAAAAAGTAAGTAAAATAAATTCAGTAAAATAAAGTAAACACAGTAAGTGAAATAAAGTTTTCTTTTGGTTTGTACAGAGTTAATACATTCTTCTCCTACTTCTGCAATGAGTTAAAGCACAACTCACCTGTTCTAAGTACCACAGCCTTGACTTTCTGGTTGCCATAGAATCTGGTCTGTATTACATGAGTGCCACAAAACAAGACATGTCTGGAATGTTCCTTCATGCTAAGCTCTGGATTGTGCTGCTCTTTCATGCCTGTTGGGTTGGGCAGGGAAGTTTTGGTAACTGGGACACTTTCGCCTGTAGATAATGCAAAAACCCAGTTAGTTTGTCTGCAGCTTAGGTGTTGCAAACATGACTCAGAATCCTGAAGTACCCGGTTTAAATACAGCTGCAGGCAGTTTGGCAACAGACTGCTTTGCATTGATTTTGACAAGTGCTGACTATTCAGTGGCAATAGCAAAGTACTAAAAATAAAACAAAAACCAGCCACTCAATGCTGAGGCTGGTTCTGCAACATCCTGTAAAATTTGCATAACTAACATTTTAAATTTTGAGGTTTTTTTTTTTTTTTAGGATTATCTTTTAAAGTTTGATTGTGTGCGTTTTGTAAAAGATTATCTTTTTAAGTATGCAGAGTTCAAAGGTCCCAGGTAGTTAGCATCCTTTGGATATTTTCTCCAGGTGGTGCCAGTGTGTTGGGAAATGAGCAGGCATATAGATTGGCTGGTTCTGTTCTGCACCACTAGGTGGTGACGTGATGTATAACAAGCTGGATGTTGTCAGGGCCCTTTGGGAGCAAATGTGCAGGGCTGAGGCACAGATAAATCATTACAGTCTGAGAAGAATGGCACTGCAAAGATTTACAAGGGGATCTGGCCAACGCTCGACACTCAGAGAAAAAGCAAGATGGATATACAATCAGACAGTTACTAGTACCATCAGAATTTTAACTCTTCACTTGCTGCTGAAGATGGGGACAGAGTGCTTATGGGGGTGTCCCGAGTGCTATGATGTAAATTCTGAATTCAACATTCTGTTTAAGTCAATGTGTGATGTGATCATCATATCTCAATCATGTCAACTGTAGAAAAGCTATCACTACTGTCTGTATGTACCTCTTTTTGTAATGCGGTGTAGACAGGGGCTGTGAGCCTGAGGATTTAAGGCTACATGGCTGGCACTGTCAACACGGACTACGCAGGTTAGGACGTTTAATTTGCTACCTGACAAAAAAAACTCCACATCCTTACCGGGGTTCGAACGTCAGTCTCCAGCATGAGAGCCTGATGTGACAACTTCTCGGCCAGCCATTCCTCATGTCAACATCATGCCAATTGCCTGTACTTGCCAGAACATTCCCCTGTGCCCACTTTAGGCTGGATCCAGCTGAGAATTCAGTAGGGATTTGAACCCAAAAAAACATAATTCAAACGTACCGTGATCAAAACCTTCTGATGGCTGCGTGAATTTTTATCATGGTATGGGGTTGTTGCAGGTCGACCCAGCCTAAAATGGGTACCAGAATGTACGTTGTGGGGAAGTAAAGATGACCAGCATATTGCTGACCACATTACCAACCTAGTGCCGACTAATATATAAAAATATGGGATGCTCTTCCCATATGCCGATGCGCCTATTGCGTGAAAAAGGATCTTTACTTTTCTTTACTTTATACCAACAATTGCATTAGATTTGGATTCATCTGGTTTGACATAGCTCGATTTGTTTGACATGGCTAGATTTGGATTGATATAGCTTGATTTGCTTTGATATGGCTTGATTTGGTTTTATATAGCTTGATTTGGTTTTATATATGTTGATATGGTTTGATTTAGTTTTGTATGGACTGATTTGGTTTGACAGGGTTTGATTTAGTTTGATATGGCTGAAATAGGATTAATATATTTGATTTAGTGTGATATAGCTTGATGTGGATTGATATAGTATATTTGGCCTGATATTCATTTTTGGTTTGATATGACATGAACGCCCATATTCTGGCAATAATGATGATAGTAATGATGATGATTATCGCAGGGGCAATGATGATAAATATATACATGCACACGCATAGATATGAACATATACACATACACACACATATATGTGAGTCTTTACATAATATTTACATGCATACACACATACATACATATAAAGGCAATACTTCAATCTGTAAAGTTCTATTCACAACCATAAGGTTTTATCTATCACAGCATTACCCATACTAAGATGTGCAACAGTTGGATGACAGGTAAAAAAATTTAACTCACCTGTCAACATACTCTCATTGACAATGCAGTTACCGGTGACAAGTACAGCATCACACTGCATGTCACATCCATAACGAGGAATCTCGATCACGTCACCAGGAACAAGGTCTTCGGAAGGGATTTCAATAAAAACTACAAAAGACAAGACAATGTGAAAGTTAAGACTTAATCAACAAAGTGCCAACTGATACTGGCATCATCGTAATCGGAACTCTTCCCTTGCTGCTGCAGATGAGGACAGAGCGTTTATGGGAAAGTCTCAAGTGCTGTTATGTCAGTTTTTAGCTTAACCCTCAACACTCAAAGTGTCATCTATGTAGTGAAGGTTAACTGCAGTAGAATTTCAAAATTATTTGCTCTTCTGGTACACTCTGACAACCAGTCAATCGATCAGTCAGGTGCTATCTGTACAAGGAAAATTGCATGCAATGGATTTATGAAAAAAATATGGACGGTAGTCTACGGTTTCGCTGCCTGAGCTACTGAGTTTAGTGCTTGGCACAGTCCTGTGAGCTGTGTTTTTCCTGTGAAAAGCCTTTCATTTTTGCAGCGGTTGGGCAGTGGCATTCGATATGGCCGGTAGCCGGTTTACGTGTGAGCTGGTGAAATACCTTATGTAATAATTCTAAGTTTGTATAGAGAAAACTTATCATGCCCGATATCAATGAAAAACTGCATTTTGGTGGTGACTGTTGGCTTTGGCATCTCTAGCAACTGCCAAATGCATCTGCTGCTGCGTTTATTTCTGGATTATTCTGGGACTAATTGTTTGTTCACCAGTTCTGCAAATGAGACAGCGAGGGACATTTCATTTGATTATCATTGGTACAGGAATGGAGCAAGTATGGGGAAACCCTGATTGCAGTGAAGTTGCCTCAGCTAAGATTAAGACTATAAAAGAAAATATGAAGGTAAATTAAAACGATCAAGGAGTTATTTGGACTTGAAGTCTGGCCGCAGTATATTTTTAACACTGTTTTCTCTGCAGGTAAAAATTTATTATGTCGCTAGAGTTTATAATCGGTAAACGTGAAGAGGATGCAGAAGATAGGTGAAAGAAGGAAAAGAAAGCAAAAGAAAAAAAGAAAGTACATGCAAAAAAAGAACAGTAACATAAAGAAAAAGAAAGAATGACAAGAAAAGAAATAATAAAGAAAGATAAACAGTGTCTAATTAATTTAACAGGTAAAAATATTTTTAAAAAATGAAAGTTGGCTACATGCTATGCTTTTCTTTACTCCTTTTCCCTCATCTAGCTGGTAATTTAACCAAGTACATCTCAGTTTCTTTTCTTTCATTATAAATGAGTGGTGGCCAACCATTTATTTGTTTAGGAGCTAATTTTTATTTCAGAAATAAATGCACTTACATAAGATGAATCACTGGCGGTTAGTTTTATAGACTCTACAGTGGGAGCCAAGCTTCTTCTTCTTTATCTTAGTGTTCTCTGGCCTTAAACTCCAGCAAAAAGAAATTGTTCATCCACTTCTGTATTTTGGTCTTGTTCCGAAACTTAAATTTTGTGTGCACATTCATTATACAGATCTAGCTTATTTGCATGCTGACTGTTGGTTCCTAGCAGATGCAGCACTCTTAAGGAAACAACCCAAATTAGTCAACTTTTCTGACATAATTGTTAGGGGGAATGGGTGGGTGTCTATTATATTTTTCCCCTAAACTAAGAACTTGGAACGCACAAGGGATGAGTAAAAGAGCAGTAACACTTTTGATACAATGTCATAGACCACTACAGGCTACCCTTCATGGCTTGCTGCACATTAGCAGCCCCTATTTCATATTGTTATATTAAAACCCTAACAGAATATAAAGCCCTAACAGAATTTAAACCCTTACAGAATAAGACATGACTTACTTCAAGTTTAAGCTCCCTTTACACACCCATGGCACATCAGGCATGTGAGGCTAGACTCAGTGGGTGGTGTGGTCAATATCAGGCAGGAATTTACCTGCTACCCATTTGAGGCTGGGTCAACCTGGAAGCCAAAGTCATGCTTGGACAAAATTCTGGTTTAACACTTTCAGTCCCAAAAGGATAAGCATCAGAGACCCAAGTGGTAGTAAAGAGAAATGAAAAATCTGCACATCTTGCATTCACTGGGCTTCATTGTAGGAACCTATGAACCTGTGATGTTTTCCTTTGCACTGAAAGAGTTGAGTGCAAGACCGATATACAGCAAGATTACAAATTGCACCATTAGTATTGGAACTCTGCATTGGCTGCTGAGGATGGGGAATGAACACATATAGGAATGCCCAGAGTGCTGTGATGTCAACTCAGCTCAACTCAACTAAAAGAGTTAAGTAACATTACGATACTATTGTCACTTTTCCATCTTTCCAGGCAATACTGTTTTGTATGGAGGTTTAGGAATAACAGCCCATGGCAATGGCAAGTGTGACTAACAAGATCAGCTCATGTTTATGAAATAGTTTTGAATGTAGTCAATTTTGTGTTTTAATTTGAAGGATTCATTTATTTTCTTCATTATAATCAACTGTTACTGTAGTATGCACTTGACAGTAGTAAATTGTGTAATCTATTGTTTGTGTCTTTGTTCACGTTTAAGAGTTGAAATAATGCCTACCTGGGTAGGTACTAAAAGAGTACTGAAGATTTCAAGTGGAGTCAAGTTCACAAATAGATCACACATGGGGTATGACACATATAAAGAGTTATTGCAACTTGTAACTCTACTTACCTCCATCTCTGCACACAGTAATAACTGTTGTTGAGGTAATTGTATTGCGCAAGGCACGTTCAAACTGAAAATTGACAGTTACATGTTTGTTACTTTTAATATAACTAAAATATTGAGTTTGATTAAGAATCAACATCACAGTACTCTGGACATTCCCATTAATATCCTGATGCCATAATGGCCAGCAAGTGCAGTTCCATTTTCTAGAGCTACCAGCAATTCTCTTGAGAATCACTTTCTTTTCACCGTGGGGACCCAAAAACCTAGCTGATTGAACAAAACATAGTTGAGTTACAGATCTTGGCATTAACGAGCTATTTAGTTTTGGGCTACTTCACTTCGCTCTACTTCTCTCTTTACTTCACTCTACTCCTCTTCACTGGACTCTGCTTAACTTCAGTCTACTTCACTCTACTCTCTTTCATTTTACTTTACTCAACTCTGCTTCACATTTATCTATTTCCTTTTACTCCACTCTGCTCTGCTTCTTTGTCAATCTATTACACTCCACTTTACTTAAATTTACTACACTGAAAATACCATTTTAATAGCATATATTCTTCTTTGTTCTTTGCGTTTACTGGCTGTAAACTTCATCAGAAAGTTCTGGACTTCTGGACCTAAGTCTAGCTTCAGAACTTTAGTTCTGCATGCACATCATTTTTATATACCTGGTTTCCTTTTATGCAGATTGCTGGTTTCTTGCCTCTCAGGCAGATGCAAGCCGACTTCAAAGGAAACTCTTCTTTCGCTGCTGCGCCCTCCGCCAGTCAACATAACCACTGTGCTAAGCCAGGCGAGTGCTAATCCTTCCTTCTGTGCTGAATACCTTTTTTCCCTCCAAAAGCAGAAGACACGCTTGTGGCGCGGGGTAAAAATTGTACACCTAAAATAAAAACTCTTTGAAGGCTTATGGTTGACCTTTGCGCTGACAAGTCATATGCGCTATGGTTATGCCATTAAAACTCATTAACAAAAAGAAAACACTACAAACTTACAAAGCAAACACTAAACACTTTAGTAAGCAAATACATGGTTTTTATTATTATTAATAATATTTTTGTGTGTGAAATATTTCAAAACAAGGTGCAACACACAATTCTAAATCACAGTCCTTGCGCATGTATCTGGTTTACAGTCATTTTTTGCTATTTGCGCATACCACGCACTTTCTTGTTGGAAATTTCTTCTGTGATGTTACCGACTCTATTATTGAAGGGAAATGCCTTTGTACTAAACGAAGTGGCAGATCTTTACTTTTTTGTCCTCCCACACTTTTCTATTTTCCTTGCAATATTTATGTAGAATTTCTCTTACTAACATTAAGAGAAATTCAGCAACAGGAGTATTTTTCCCCACAAATGCACAGTACACAAACCACGCTTTACAAAGGAACAGGATAATGTGTAACGCATCTAAATCCTCCTGAACGCACCTGACAGGATGTTTAATTAATTAATACTTCGGTGATCTGTTGCCAAAAGTGCTAAGTGCTTAAATTTAAAATTTACATTTAAAATAATAAAAAATTTAAAAAAAACGGCATATAGAGGTTGAACGCAGGACCTTTCGATTCTGAGGCAGACGTGATACCAACTACACTAGAAATTCACATGAAAATTAGAACTGAAAATAGGACCAGTATTGTACACTTTGATAGACAGACACATTTATGTCAGTTGTATAGTATATTGGAAACATTAACATTAATCATCATGTCAGTACGTGACCATATCTTTATTTTGATTATTGGGGATCCATTATAAATCCAGTCAATGTAGATAGCTGGGTCATATGTTCAATTTTGCTAATGGCCAGAAGTACATGTGTCCGCTGATAACCCAGCTCATATAACTCACACATTTCAAAGTGATCCTTACTATTACTCCTTGAAAGAAACTCCATTAATTCTTTAAAAAAAGTACACTAAAGCAAAAACCAGAAATATATTTCAAGGCAAAACATATACCTTTCACCGGACATGCTTCTATGGTAACAAAGCAACAGGATAACGTGAAATGCATCTAAATCCCTAAATGAACATGATATGTGTTTTCATTGTATATAAATGTGTCAGTTTGATAAAATTTAGGTAATGTATATTGCCATTTCACCCCCGATAAATACGGTTCTTAGCAATCTGTAAGAAAAGTCAAAGACGAGTTAGCTCGTCCTTAGCAGTGAGGGCATAGAAAATGGAAGAGGAGTTATCTTGTCCATAGCAACGAAAGGGTTATTTGTCAACTCTTACCACATGCTTGTTAGGGAGGCAGTGGGTCTATTCTTGTTTTCCCCACAATGAGGCTCTGGAACCTACACTAGGATCAACAGCATATATTTTCTTTCATGAACAGAAACTGTTCTAGCAGACAACAATGTACCTTTCTGGTCTGGTAGATGGTGACGGTGACGGACAGGGTTGTCATGACAACAATGCAGGTAGCATAGATGTAGTAGTCATCCACGTACCATATTATCGTGGAGAAAACTTGGAAGATGTAAAAGGGAGACAACATCTGAATGTGAAGATGAAAAAAAAAAGGTTACAAAACAATACAATTTCAGCAGCCATGTATGGTTAACTAATTTGCCAAAATGTTTAATTTCAGAAGCCAAAGTAAAAAAAGAAAACATACTTAAAAAAAATTAAGACAGTATTTATGAAAGGTTGTAGTTATCTTCTTCTTCAAAATTCTCAGCCTGTTGAAGTTTATTGCTAAAGATATCATCGTCCTCCTCACTGTCATTGTAACTGACTCAAAGAGCATGCTGAGAAAGGTGGAGATAGGTGTGCTTCATTCAGAGTAGCACCATCGCTACAGGTGTCTTGAGTAGTTAGTCTTCTTTGGAAATTTTCTCCAGGTGGTACAGGTGTGTTTGGAAATGAACAGAGAGATAGTCTGGCTGGCTCTGCACTATTTAGGGGTAAATTAGTTAGTTTCTTTCCTCTTGTGCCTAGGGCAGTGCATAGGGCAGAGGTCATAGCTCTACATGTCTGGCGGTTTGTTGCTACCTGCTTTAGGTGATGGTTCTAAGTAGAGTGTCTCTAGGTCTTCCTTGTTTTCTTTTCCCTCCGTAAGAGGGCTTGTTGGGAAGTCTTCTCTTATCCATTCTGAGTGCATGGCTGATGTAGTTCCAGCCACACTTTCTGTCTATCCTTCGAATAACGGTCCTAAATTATCGAGGCGGAAAATATACCCTAACAGGGCCTCAGTCACGTGTCAATTGCACACTTCTGGCAACTTCCGCCACCGTCGAGAGTATCCCCCACGCCGCTCATGGGGATACTCTCGGCGGTTGTGGTATAGTCACCGGAAGTTCGCAATTCGGCGGTGGCATTATAGTACCAGGAGGTGCGCAACTGACACATGACTGAGGCCCTGTTAGGGTTTATTTTCCGCCTCGATAATTTAGGTCCGTTGTTCGGAAGATAGCCCGCTTTATTATAAAACTTTATATATTGTCTTGCTTGGTCTCTTGTCTTATTTGTGTATTGGATCTGAAACCTGCCCAGTGGAGATTTAGTATTCTTCTAAGACATTTGTTCTCAAAACAGCCTAATTTTTTTTTAATCAAGAGCTACCATTGCTTTCCAACTCTCGCATCCATGTTAGCACCGGAATCACACAATAGTTGAAGATCTTAGGTTTTGTATGATTGCTGAGAGCCTTTGACTTACAGATGTTTGACGTTTTGTTAAAGGCACTAGATGCCAGTGCGATTCTAGATGATATTTATGGCACAGAGTCTGAGTCTTCTATTAATGTCATCTTACTTCACAGGTATGTAGAGCTGTTGACTTTTTCAAGAATGAGATCGTTTAGTTTGATGTCATCTGAACTATCAGTAAGATCAATAATTTTTTGGTTTATGCGGTGTTAATTTGGGATCTGATTTGAGTGGTAAACTGATGCATGAAAAGCTAGATGTTTGTTGTAAGGGCCTTTAGGGGACAAGTAAACAGTGAGGAGGCACAAACAGGTCATCATGGTCTGAAAATAATTATGAACAAGGATTGACCAGAGGATCTGGCCAGTGCTTAACACTCAAGGGAAAGGTGAGATGGATGTACAATCAGACCATCAGAAATGGAACTCTTTGTTTGCTGTTGAAGATGAGGACAGAGGGCATATGGGAATGTCCCCAGTGCTATGATGTTGATTCTTAATTCAACATTTGTGGGGGAAAACATGAATAGATCCACTGCCTCTCTGACAAGCAGTGTTTGGCTAGTGTTTAACACTCGAAGGAAGGGTGAGACAGACATATAGACAGTTACTGGTGCCATCAGAACTGGAAAGCTGCACTAGTTGTTGAAGTTGGGGATGGTGTGCTTGCAGGAATGTGCTGAGTGCAATGTTGTCAGTTCTTAACTCATTATCCTCTTCTAATCATCTCTCTGATTGGTCCTCTATTTCCATTTGCAGACTCCAAGTGTGAGTTGATCTGCCTGAATATTTTCTTCTACTCTCTTTGTAGTCTGACTCTGGGTCAACTCCCATTTAACTCTTTGAAGTTTGTAGTATGCATAATTTATTGTCTTGAATATTTCAGTGTATCTTGACAGGTGCTTGCTAGAGAATTAACATCAATATTTAATAAAGCACAAAATGTGAATCTGTTAAACTAAATTACATTAATTACATAGTCCATAGTTACACTTGCTTTATTACATTTTAAGTGTGTGTGTGTGTGTGTGTGAGAGAGAAAGAGACAGAGAAATATATATGTACAAATATAAATGAAAACAACATTTACTAGCACATGGTGAACAACATTACCTGCTGAAACAGCAAAACAACGATAGGGGTAACATGAACAGCAATGGAATTCAGGCCATACAGCACCTGTCTGTGTGAAATATAAAATATAAAAAGATGCAGTGATGTGTAAACAACACTCAAATTTCAGCTATAAGACCACAAAAAAACATTTATGAACAATTCTAGCCAAGAAACCCTTAGGGAAAAAGCCACAAACCAGAGAATTCCTGATACAAACCGTTCAAAAATATATATATATTTTTTGTTTTTGTGTTTTTAATGTTATTTTCTCAGAAATCTAAAACATGAGTTGAGAGAAGAATTAAATCGATTACATTCCCTTGGGCCTGAAACAAAAATATACCGTGACCCAGACCATGATCCCATCTTTATGCCACTACTGAGACTAAATTATCACATCATAAAGACTTTAAAAAGTAATTGGTACACCCCGCGCTCAGAAAAATTTCAAACTTAGACCCGTCCGGAAAGGTATATAGTTCCTTATATTGATCTATACCTTTATCGGGTAAAATAATAATTTCTAGACCTTCTAGTTGCTTTGACTTATCGTCATTTTTAAATTTGCAACTGTAGGTTGACGATTTCTAGGGTTTTATTTGAATTTTCCTAGAAACCGGTTTACTCCTTGCTCATGTCTACAAGGGACTTCTTTTCTACTGAGGCCAAGCTTAAGTTAGAGCGGGCATTCTTCTGCCTGCATTCCTAGAGATCAGATGTGGTCATCGGCGCCTCATAAATTTATACTTTGAGAAGGCGGCCTGTAGTGTCCAGGACATTTCCTAAGCTTGGGATGAAACCTCTGTAGAGAGCGGGCAGATTAATCACAGTCCTACCAACTACCAACAACCAACAACCAACCACCAGCTAACCACAGTTTGTGTACCAGACATAACAATGTCATGCTCTATGTACCACTACCATCAACATGACCAGAGTGTGGGTGTGAGCTCCAGGACGAGTGAACATTTGCAGAGGTTGTGCCAGTGAGCGAGTGTACCAGTCTTCAGGAGCTTGGTTGAGCTCTGAGATAGTTTGTGACCTGACCTGTGGAAGAGACTTTGTGAGTCCCTATACAGTTTCTGTGTCCTTGATGGTGAGGTACTCCTCTGTGACCAGATCAACTTGAGGCAGAGCTACCAGAGTCAACTACAGTCGAATCACCATGGACTGAGGGGAGCATCTACATAGGAACTCTGGTAAGTGACAGTTTTGTTTCAGCTCTATTCCACATATTCCGGTGATGACATTGAGATACTCTTCTAGACAGTCTGGCTGTTTCAATATCTGAGTCGTAGCCTGAGTCCGGATCCTAGAAACATTCTGGAACATTATTCTTTTATTTGTGTAAATAATTGACACTTATTACATACATTCATTTTCATGGCTGACTTAGGTGTCTCTATTTCACCTTTTTAATTGTTTAACATTGATGTGTGTATGAATAATAATTGTTATATGTGTTAACATGGTTTTGATAGTAGACTATCATAACCTGGGGGCTATCTTTTTATAGTAGTGGGGGTGTCCAGCCAAGTGTGCCTAGGAATATTATATATATATATATATATATATATATATATATATATATATATATATATATATATATATATATATATATATATATATATATATATATATATATATATATATTTTGTAGTGCCAAAACTTGAGTTGCCCTACTCCAGAAATAAGTTGAGCGTATATTGGCCACGGGGCATCCCTTAGACCAATACGAGCCAAATGACTCAACATAATTATTTCTGAGTGCTGTTGGTTCTTAAGGAGAAATCCTTAAATCAGGCACGTGACATGAGTGATATGTGACACTGGCACTCTGGGGAGTTTTGTGGTTGTATTTCTTTAGATGCCCACTGAGTGGAATATGTATGTTGTGTTCTGAGTCTGAAGATGGTGGCATGGTCCCTCCTTGTTAGATGGTTGATGCTGTAGATAGGATCAGGGCCAGCCATATGTCTATAAACCTCTCTTCCTGTGTCTCCCAATGGATCCATCTGTTCAGCTGAGTCTCGTTGTTTATAGCTCTTATATACCATTTGAAGTAATTGTTACTTCATTTAATTCTGATTTCAGCAATTATCATATTACTCATTTTATTAAACAGTGTTAATTCAAGCGAATAAATCTTTGGCGTTCAGACAGTTCAGATAGAGCTAGGTAGTTTAGCATCCAGAAGAAACCTTGAAGAGTTAAGAAAAGTAAGTCATGTTATAAATTACAAATTAGATAACCAGTTTAGTCTAAATAAATATAGCAAGCATAGTTTGAAAAAGGGTCCTTTAATGTCTTTAGGCCAATCATCATCATCATCATAAACCCCTTCTGCCGTTAAGCCTCATGGGGAGGAATAATTTGCGATCCTTTGCACGCTGGCTGCCACTGGCCATTGTCATGCTGTAAAAGGCGTAGAGTGTCTTTAATGCTGTTGATCCATATTTTCCATGGCTATCCGCTTGCTCTTGAGCTGATCTTCAGAGATGTAGTGCTTGTGATGGTATTCGATCTTGCTACATTATAACAAGACTATCTCAGATGGTTAGGTTGGCAGCTTTTCTCAGGCATCTCATGTGAATATACCTGATATGCCATCTTGTGTTCTTACTGCACTTTGGCTTGTGTGGTACATAGCTATGATGTTTTCTAGTAACTGTCCTTGTACCTCGTAGTTCTCAAGAACAGTTTGTTTCTATCCATTCTATCGAAAGCCTTTTCCTGATCTACAAACACAGTATTCTGTTGGAAATTATAATCAATGGCTTTTTTCACACATTAGCCTCAGAGTGAATAATGCAACTGTGCATTCTCTGCCTTTTCTGAAACCGAATTGTGATGCACTCAACTGTTATTTGGCTATGGATTTAACTTTCAGTTCTAGTACTATGGCCAATAAAGGACAAGAAATATGAATTTCAATTATATCTAATTATTACCGTTTGAACTGGTCTTTCTGATTAAGGCCATTGGTGTTGTGGAAGTATGTCAACTTATATCCTTCGTCTAAACCTCTGATGATATAAATAAAAAACAAAAACATTAATAGGAAAACAAATAATAGTCAATTTTTGTTACACCTAGATCATTAAAAAAAATTACCTTCACAGTCATTAGAAGAACTAATGAAGCAACATCCATCATTAAATTCATTGAGAAAAAAAGACTGAAGTGGCTTCGCTTTCTGGTGAGAGAGAATCTAATTAGCATCAACATGAAAATTAAAAGGCAGAGGGAGACTTTGAAGAAAAGGATTGAAGGAGTCACAGCTTAATAACAACCATTACAGAATATCAGCAACTAAGCACGGCCAGGCTAAAAAAAATTACATTATTACCATCTTCTTCTTCTGATCTTTGGGTTCTCCATGGCTAATTAGTTAAGCAGTATGTCATGCACTCTGTAGGCCATGAGTTCATGTCATTAAACCTAATGATGTTTCACTGCACAGACACTGGCAATCACAATTCAATATTTCTTCTTCTTGTCTGCCATTATCTTATTCTTCTTATTCGCCTCTCTTGGCAGTAGTGAAACATCAAAAGCTAGATTGGTTCGGGCATGTGGAGAGAACTGATTCGACTGCAAAAACTGAACTTGAAGGAACATTTGGGGATAGTCAAAGAAGGGGAGGGCAAAGAAGAACCTGGAATGACAACATCAAGAAATGGACAGGACTAAGTTGTCATACACTTATTCATAAAGCAGAAGACAGAGAAAGATGGTGCATTTTGTATGCTAGTGTTTCCATCAATACACCTTCATGACCCTAATGGCTCAAGGGTTATTTTATGTTATCATGAAATAGGTACTACTTTAATCAACTCGAGCTGATTACTCAACCAGAAGTGGCCTATCTGTAGGTACACAAATAGATGGAGGAGGACTCGAGGATAACAACATTATGACAATCAGCAAGTTGAAGAGGAAGAGACCAGGAGAGAAGATGCTAAATATTTTGGAAACAGGACAGATACATCTGCATCAGAAATGTCTCACTGTATTCAAGACAGACTCCTGGGGATAGACATAATTATCAATAACAGACTGTATGGACTAAAAGAAGAAGAGGGTATCATTATTATTATTATTCTTCACCTGTTGAACTTTTTTGGTCTCATGATTTTTGCATTTTAAAACAATAAATACTTAGGTCTCAAAAATTTGAGCAGAGACACTGTAGGACAGCAGTGGTTAAACTGATAATTCATAAAGAAAGCGATAATTTAACAACATCATCATCATCATCAAGGGTTTTGCATACTGGTGAGTGCAATAAGGCCTTTCCACGATCCACAGCTATATATCAGTTCATGTGTTAACACCCCTCCATGCCATGATAAAAAGGCAGTCAGGAATCTTATCATGCTGTCTTCTTCTGCTACTCCTTCCACAGATCTTTCCGGTGGTCTCGACATGTTCCAATTTCCTTCTTCTCATAACATCACCTAAAAAAAAAGGATGACTGTCTCTTTCTGATGTTTGTGATAAGTTGTCTTCGAGCACTCACCTCTTTTAAAACATCTTGTTTGGTCTAATGAACTGTCCATGGAATTCTATGGAATCTTCTGTAAAACTACAAATCCGAGGCCTCACGAAAATTTTCAGTGTGTTTATTAATTGTCTTTCCATATGGGTTTCAGAATCCCATATTGGGAAAAATAAGAACAGACCCACTGCCTTCCCAACAAGCAAGAAACCAACAATGTGCATACAAATAAGTCAGGTCTGTAAAATGGACGTGCACACAACACTCAGGTCTGGAACAAGACTACGTTCAGAGGGCATGAACAACCAGAACTTTCCGCTGGAGTATACAGCTGGTGAACACAAAGAAGAAGAATTGTCCAGGATTCACAGCCGTATGATAAAACTGGCTCTAGATAGCATGCAAGAATTCTTTTCCTAACCTCCAATGAAATAGATTTATTGCACAAAATGTTCTTCATTTTATACTGTTCTATTCTGTTCTTAATCTCTGTGATACAGCTTCCATCAGATGTTATCCTAATGCCTAGATATTCAAATTTGTATACTTGTCCTAAAATAACTCCACTGACTCTTATTATACTATACATTCAGGCACCATTTTTCTCTTGAAAATCACCATTATTTATGTCTTCCCATTATTCAAACTGAGGCCAATTTGATCACTTACTACCACCACTGTATTTATCAATGGCTGTAATTCTGTCTTACTTGTCGCTGTACAGATGGTGTCATCAGCATAACGCAGGTAGAGCTCAATATATATTTACTGTATAATGAAAACAAATCAGGCGATAGTACATATCCTTGTCATACTCCCCACTATATGCTCTGAAATTGTCTCTTCCAGTTCATTCTTGTAGCTGCTTTTTTGCTGCCAATACATCTTTTTATAATTTGTAAATCTTTTTCATCATTATTTAACTTTACCAGTAGTTTGATTATTTATTTGTCATGTTTCACACAGTCAAATGCTTTCATAAATAAAGGTCAATTTTGACGACTGCTCTTTCTGAAAGAGTCCTGAGGAGGTGAATGCCATTATTTATACCTTTTCCTTCTACAGATCCACCCTGTTCTTCAAAAATTTCTGTTTAATCTTGTTTCTTACTCATTTTCTTTTTGTCACTCATTAGACTTGAGGTGCGATAGTTGTCACATTTTAAAATGCCTGGTTTCTTTTGCAGAGCAACAAATGTAGATTTTAACAGGTCATTAAGAATGTATTCACAAAAAAAATGTAATTTAACATATTTTTTTTAAACAACATAGCATATCATAAGAGAGACCATTACACACATGATCTGATTTACAGTATAATTCCCAGCACACTGACAATGATGAATCTCTTTTAACTACATTCAGAAGAGGGATATGCTATGGTATGGAATGTAATAAGATCAAACAGCCTTTGAAGAATACTACAGGGTTCACTAGAAGGGAAGAGGAGAAGAGGCAGACCAAGAAAGACCTAGATACAAAACTGGACTGACTGGTCAGACCTTAGGCATGCAACAATGAAGTTTATTGCAACTGACTGCCAAAAGTGGAGGGAGCTGATTAGGAAGGAAATCCGTAATAATTTTTTGCATTCTTTCCCTATATAACCTTTGCAAATGTTGGCTCAGATGGAAGCTAAAGGAAAAAATGATTCGCCCTCCCGACATGATGGCAAGTCACATGACTCAGCGTCAAAGTGAGGCTTCATGTAGGTCACCTGGCTGCTTGGCTAAGGCTCTGGCCAAAGGGAGGCTCAGGTGGTCTGAAGTCACCTGGCCCCTCGGATGAAGCTCTTGTGAGGCCTTGTGATGGACCAGAAGATCTGTGGGTCTTAGGGGCAGCAATGAGCAGGGGTGGGCAGTTCAAGGCCATTTTAGGGGGTTTTTTTGTAGACAAAAAAACTTGCAGTATTCATTGGCTTGGCGGAAGAGGACAGAAAAGTATAAATGTTATACAGTAGAAATATTTTTTTAAAGTTTTAAAGTGATAAAATCGAGGAGTATGACTCTAGACTTATATGTTTTAAAGTAGAATAAAGGAAAAGAGGGGCATTGACTGACTTGGTGGAGGGGATAACAAATGTATATATATTTCTTATATAGGAAAATATGTAAAAGTGATTATAGGGGTAGGTGTCAGCTAGGGCTCAGAGTTGTTTGTGGTCATGCAGCAGCATCATCAAGTGCCATGCTGATGGGCAGGGCCAAGCATGCCTCCCAGGGTCTGTTATAGTGTCGATTGTTAGCTGATGAGCTGTGGTTATGGTAGACAGTCAACAGCAACTGGTAACCCGACAACACGCAGCGTTACAGGATGATTGAGATGAGGATGATGATGAATTTAACAACTGTCTGTGACAGAAGGTAGATGAGAAGATTATACTGTTTTAAGAAACAGCAAAAAATGTGTAGTGAATTGTCTGGTACTTTTTGTCTAAACAAATACCGGATGATTTAAAATGATGGATACACTTTCAACCATATGTATTTCCTTGAAAATTACATATGAATAATATACACGCAAGAGAGAGAGAAAAGTCCAAAGTTTTGAAAAACGATCACTCGAGTTGTGCATGCTCATGTCACCAAAGACCCTTTAGTTCAGTTCTGAGTAAGATCACCACCCAGCAGCAGATAGTGGCCATATTGAACATCTATAACTTCTATTAAAATTTATAAACTTCAAAACTTCCTCTCTCTCTCTTTAATGTATATTATCAATACGTAATGTATTTTCGATGAAATTTATATGAATGAAAGTGTATCCATCATTTTAAATAACCCCGTTTCTATGAGGGGAAGTCAATAAGTAAGGCAGCTGTTCCCCCCCCCCCCCCCCCCCCCCAAAAAAAAATGCACAACAGCAAAGTTGTTCTTTGAAGTTACACCCTGTAAATACAGTCGCCATTTAGATTCTGTGTTGCGAATGCACATGCAACACCTAGTGCCACCTAACAAACAGAGACATAAAGTTGGATGTTGCTGTCACCTAATGACACCTTTAGAAACCACCAACTACATTTTCCTACCATCCCATAACCATTTGCGACTTACTTATTGACTTCCCCTTGTATATATCTTTCTCTGGAGCAGATATTGGTGATTATGAATCTTTAAATTTTCAGTCATTTGATATTTCCTCAGTATTCTTAGAATACTATGAGCACAGTAATAAAAAAAAAAGTATTCACATTCTTCGAGATCTGATTATCAGGGAGGATTGGCTTGCTTGTAAACACCATCTTATTTCGGAAACTGAAATATTTTGACCATAACTAGTGCCACAGTTGATTAGAAAGAACAGAAGCAGAAGGTACTGTACTGGGAACGAGAAGTGTGGGTCAAGAAGCATGAAACTGGGCACAGGATATAAGTGACACCTTTGGCAGGAAAGTGCATGAAGTAGGAGAGCTAGCAAGAGACTCTCTTTCAAGCAGGCTGTGATGCGAGTGATACAAGATATACACTTACTTGAGTGGAACAAACTGGGCCTGTTCGGGATTCCACAGATACTTGATTTTCTTGCACACAAAGTATCTAATGAGATTTTCATCACTCTGGAAGAAGATTTTGATACTAAATAGTTTGAGAAAAAAATTAACAATGTTTAGACTTTATATCAGCAATTTACATGTTTTCTTCTTCTTCTTCTACGTATTCTTCTTCTTCTTCTTTCCTTCACTTGAAATAGATTATCTGTATCTGCAATATTATCTCTAGGATGGAATTCACTGCCTGTTGAGATTCACTGAGTGACCCGTAAAGTTTGTCCTGCACCGGTGTTTTTCTTGGCCAAGAGTTTTGCCTTGATATATTGTATTTGGGACAGTTTTGGAGGAGGTGATCTGTTGTTGTCAGGGGCCAATCCACATGAACAGATGGCTGAATACCCAGTCTTAAATGTTGTCTACATGTGGCTGCGAAGTCGACTGTGTCCTGTTCTAAGGTGAAGAAAAATGACTAGCTCTGGTCTGTCCATAATATGGTAATTGTCTTGTGTCAGTTTTGGTGGCTTTCTGATTGATTTGATTATTCTCTTCTTCTGTTGATAAAATACTGTTACATCAGATTGTTCTTCATTTGCAAATAGTTGAATATTATCAGTTTGTTATAAAGATTAATTAATTTTGCATTGAGCAATTTTTTTATTTTTTATTATTGACCTAGGTCTCCCATGTTAATCCAATCTAAAATGAGTATCAGAAGATGTCCTGGCAAGTAAATGCAATCAGCTTAATGTTGGCTGAATCACTCTTTGTGTGCCAATTAATCTAGGAAAAAAAAATGGGTCATATGTACACGGTGTCCCATAAGCTGCCATTCTTCTTTACGTCCTCTTTTACCACTTCGGGTGTCAAGGACGATTTAAAGTCCTGCTTTGTGCTATTCTGGCTGCTTTGACCATAGATGCATTGTGGTGCTCTAGAGTTTCTATGATGTTATCTTCCCATTTTATTTCTGTGTCTACCTCTTGCTCTACATCCCTCTCATCTTTTGGTATATGCTTTGTATGGTATGGCATCAGAGGGAATTTTCTCCAAGGAGCAAACCATTTGATTTGCTGTCTTTGTATGTGATTTAGAATTTGTTCTGTGTTGACTTTATCTCGTACGACCTCATTCCTGATTGTATCTCTTCTGGTCACTCCTAGTCTTTCTCAGACACCTTACTGCCATGGTTACTAATTTTCTTTTATGTTTTGTTGTGAGTGACCACAAAAGGCACTGATAGCATAGGGTGGGAATGAATATGCTTTGTATAAGACGTTTCTTTGTGCTGATTGGGATTGCCTTATGCTGTAAGTTGGGAGCTAGCTGTCCCAGAACTTGGTCTGCTTTACTGCATTTTCTTTTCAATTTCTTCCTCCACTTTACCATCTTCAGTAAATGTTGTTACAAGATATTTAAAATCAGATGCCTGTTTAATATGTGTATGATCTATTTCTATGATAAGTTGCCATACACAAAAAAAATAAACAAATCATCAAAGCCATTTCAAGCATGGTCCCAGCTGTGCTTGTACATGTTCTTTAACAGTGGAAGTTAGTAAGATGTGTATCCTTTACAGGACATTGCAGAACTAACCCCAGCTTTCTTTTACTGTTGTAGTTTTTCTAGGCAAATTTATGTCCTTTAGTTTCTATTGCTTTCTGGATGGTAGACTTCTGGATACCACTGTTGAAACCAATGTAAGGTGCAGGACCTGCAGCTGGGATCAAACCCAGCACCCCAGCATTACAAAGCACGTTCCTAAGCCACAGATGTCAACAACAGTGGAGGACATACATCAAAAATGTCTTTTCAAAACAATGGTAGTCATGGAGAGTATCTATACTATCAATCACAAACCCTTTCTGTATTTCATGTGTTCATTTTAAATGAAGTGTTAACTCCCAAACCATGACCAATACATGGGTTAAATTTTCATTTGCCACTGGCACTGGCAAAGCTGGGCAGTTAAATCTAGTAAAACTAGTTAATTTTTCTAATGTATGGAAACTTATGGGAGATCCTGAAGATGTGTCAAAAACATAAGTTGGGCTCTGTACTCACTTTTGTTTCAGTTTTTTTCTTGGGTTTCTCCTTGAATATGTGACCATCCTGAGATTGCAAAATCTTAATCTAGATGGCAAGTCAACAGGGCAAATCCCATATACCTATTCAATCCCCAAAGACATTTTATTAGAGGTATCTTTAATGGCTACCTAGCTTCATATCACTTGCAGTCCTGTGTGGATGAAGTTGACTAGTATCTGTTTATATGGTTTCCTAGGGTTTCCTTAGGACTGCTGTCTGTAGGATTAACAGAAGGGATAAAGTTCACAACCAGACAATACACCATAAACTTAAAACCCAGCCTTACAAACTCGACTGGATCGGTCACAATTATAATAGCTTGCATATGTATGCAGAATGGGAGAGAATCGGCCACTATGGCAGGACTGGGAGGCAAAGAACCAAAGAACCAGGTCTCCAGGATGACCAGGGTTCATGGGGAAGACAGCATCTGAGAGTTCTCGAATGAAAGAGGACTGGAAATGAACAAAGCCAAAAAGAAAACTGCTGACAGATAAGTCTGGCAATCTATCTGGCAAACCTGTATACCTCATGGTTCTCATCCTTTAGGTGTTAATCTTTACTTACTTAGTCAACCCTCTTCTACCATGAGGTATACAGTAACAAATCCCAGAAATCCCGTTCAGCTGTAAAACACCATTATATTCGGGCACCTCTATGGTTATGAAGTAAACACAGTTCAGTGTGAGGGGTGAACTTACAAGGACTAAACAAACTTTGTAGGAACATGTTTTACTTGAAAAAAACATTTAATTTAAATTCTCACGTTCAACTAGCATCCCCAAAGATGGAGTTTTAGGTTATAACTGTGACTAGGTTATTTGTGCCACATAAAATGGCTTAGCATTGTATGCCACCAAGAACCCTGAAAAGGACTCCTGCAGTGTTGATGTGATTAAAGCAGACAGACCCACACACTGTCCTGAATTGCGACAAAGTCGTCTACTGGTGAGCCAATGGGTGACCTGGTCACCGATGTGCTACACAAACTTGAGCATCTGAAAACACCAAGTTGTCTTTACAAATAAAACCAACAATCACAAAAACTCTTGCTATACAAACCTGAGCATTATAATTGATGACATCTTGTTTCTTACTGAAAAGCCGCTTTTTTGGTTTCTTTAACTTGACACTGGGGAAGATACAAAACCAAATTTATTAATTGTCTCCTTGGTCTAAGTAAGCTAAATATGCAAGAACATTTTTTAAACCAGGGATATTTTTTTAAACCTAGAGTATTTCTTGAGCCTGGAGTAGTTCATGGACCTTACTTATTTCTTTAACATTGAATATTTCTGATGTCTGGAGTATTTATAAATGAGTTCCCCATTTGGGTTCCAGAGCTTGATTTTAGAGAACAAACAAATACTTGTATACTCTAACAAGCATGTCACAGGAGGCAACTAATTAGGAATGTTTCCTTTGAAGTCGCAACACATCTGCATGACAGGCAAGGAACCAACAGTCTGCATAAAAATAAGTCAGATCTGTAAAACCAATGTGCATGCAAAACTTAAGTCCTGGAATAAGACTATAGCCCAGAAGTGGATTAACAACCAAAATTTTCAACTGGAATTGTCCTCCCCATGCGGGATGCAATTTTTAATTTTTATTTAAGCCCCACCCTGGCTTTTGCGGGGGCCTCTATATGGCCTAATGGTTGAACAGGGTTTCTAGGACATCTCCATAGGTGATCCTCATCCGCAAAGTGGCACTCTGTGTCACCAGGTGTTTATCGCTCTGTGTGATGTCGTGGTGGGGTAAAATTTACTTACTCACTGGAATTTACAGCCAGTGAATCTTTAGAAGAATAAGAATCTGATATCCTCAACACTGTACAGACTAGCTGGGGGATAATGGTGAATCTCTGATGCTAACAGAACTACGTGACCGAGTAGTTAAGCTCAGTAAAGCATGTCTTCACCATCTTCAAGGTAAAGACAGGAGATACCATAATCAACTCCTCATGGGAACAATCAGTAGAGGTACTTTGGAGTGGCTGCTGCATCCGAGGACTGAGCACACATGGTGATGCCTAATGTGCAAAGACACTGATTGTTGTAACATAACAAATAAATGTACTCACCCTGTTCCTTCTCTAGTGATCGTCTGGACAGTGGACACAAAGTACTGATCATACTGATCCTGAAACAAATGTACACACAAAGTGCTGATCATACTGATCCTGAAACAAATGTACACACAAAGTGCTGATCATACTGATCCTGAAACAAATGTACGCACAAAGTACTGATCATACTGATCCTGAAACAAATGTACACACAAAAGTAATGACAATACTGATCCTGAAACAAATGTACACACAAAGTACTGATCATACTGATCCTGAAACAAATGTACACACATATTACTGATCATACTGATCCTGAAACAAATGTACACACAAAGTAATGACAATACTGATCCTGAAACAAATGTACACACAAAGTACTGATCATACTGATCCTGAAAAAAAAAATACACACAAAGTAATGACAATACTGATCCTGAAACAAATGTACATACAAAATAATGATCATACTGATACTGAAACAAATGTACATACAAAGTACTGATCATACTGATACTGAAACAAATGTACATACAAAGTACTAATCATACTGATTCTGAAACAAATGTACACACAAAGTACTGATCATGGTGATCCTGAAACAAACATACACACAAAGTATTGATCATACTGATTCTAAAACAAATGTTCACACATAGTACGGATCATACTGATCCTGAAACAAATGTACACACAAAGTACTGATCGTACTGATCCTGAAACAAATGTACACACAAAGTGCTGATCATACTGATCATGAAACAAATGTACACACAAAGTACTGATCATACTGATCCTGAAACAAATGTACACACAAAGTGCTGATCATACCGATCCTGAAACAAATGTACACACAAAGTACTGATCATACTGATCCTGAAACAAATGTACACACAAAATACTAAAAAAATTATATTTACATACAAAGTACTGACTGTACTGAGCCTGTAAAAATATGTTTACTGTACTGATCCATTCAAAATCTTGTGTCAACACAAAGCTTGATATTGAAAAAAAAAATATGTGAATGGATATTCTTCATGCATCCTCATCAAAGTTTCATGTTTCATTGTATCTTTTTTGTTTAGACAGGTTAATGTAGAGAAGCGTAACAGTCTATGCCAGTCAACATGGCAGTTGATGATGAAGATGATCATTGCATAAAGACTTTTAACATAATACAAGTTTTTTTTTTTTAAGTGAGGATCCCATTTCTACACTTTATGGTATATTTGTATAAGGTGTTATAAGGCAGAGAAGTTGGCACTAAATTAGAAATATTCTGAGATGAGACTGAAATGGAATTGCTAAAGCAGCACTGAAATGGGAAATAAAGGCACAGAGGAAACAAAGGTGGATGTTGATACGAGAAGCCAAAGATACTGGACTGGATTCCATCCATGACAGTGAAGTAATTGCACAGGATAGAATGGTATAAAGGAATAGACACAAGTCCTATGTGACACATAATGGAATAACAGGACAATGAATAAATGATTGAACAATTATATGATGCTTGCCCCAAGTTTGTATAGACCTTAATAGGTTGTAGGTAAACAATATGCTGACTTCCTTTGTCTCCCATGGCAGGATTAACCCTCGGTTGAAGTAACAAACAGCTTGGATTATTAAATGGGCTAATGGAGATTTAAGGCTGAACTTCTCAATTTCCAGTGGAACCTTCCATTGCTTACCTTGAGCAGAATCTTCTCAGCATCTGGCAGTGGACATTTACTGTGTGTGGCATAGAGCATCCAGTGGGTCATCCAGTAGAAGAGAAGCCGGAGAAGGGCCACGGTTAAGAAGTAACCAATATATGTCAGCGTCTCTTTGACCTTGCTGCGTCTGTAACCAATGATTTCCTGTTGGAGAAAGACAACATTGGTGTCATATTTGGGTGGTGAATCATTTATAGAAAGTCAGCTTTAGCATCATCACCATCATCAATTTCCACTCTTGCAGTCAACTCTTTTGGTCCCATGGTTTTAGCATCAGAGACCCAAGGGGTAGTCAAGAGAGAAGTAAAATTGGTGCATCTTGCGTTCATTGGGCTCCTAGATGGGAACCTATGAACGCATGATGCGTTCCTTAGGACTGAAAGAGTTGAGCAATGTGAGCAGAAACAGTTTGCCTGAGGTGTAGCAATAGCTACTGCAATTTTGTGTCTATGTAGAAAGTCTTTAATGTCATCAATCCTGTGACGAGCTGGTCTGGACAACTGTTTCTTCCCTTTTAATTATTGATTTGTATTAGCAATATTATTAAATTTCTTACCTTTTTTTATAGTTTTGTATTAGCAATATTTTTAAAATTCTTACATTTTACTTATTGCTTCATTATGGCAATATTATAAATTTATTAACAGAAAAGTTGAAAAGTGATTGAGAAGTGGGAGGATCTACTCAGAGTTACTTGCCCATTTTTTAGCACTTCCTACTTCCTTTTCAAATCACACATGGTTGAAAAAAGAGAAAAGTGTTTTCTCTCCTCAACTGACCCAGCACATACCAAAGTTGGTAGTCAAGACTGTAATCTAAATGTCTGTTTGAATCCCTACTAGGGTTCCAGGTGGAAATTCCAGAAGTGAGTTCCAGCATAGCTGCAGGTGTCCGATTGTCTAGACTAGACAAGAAGATTCGACCTGCCTGAAGTGTCTCCATGGCTGAGCTAGAAGCTGACCCAAGGAACACAATCAACAGATGAGTGGACATATCAATCCACTCAGTCAACCATCAGATAGTCCTACTTCCTGTTCAGTCCCATGATTTCAATACATGATTGTTTTAATTGTCCTTCCAATTTTATGGAGTTTTTTTAAACTAATAATTTGTCTCAGTGAACAACAGCGAGTATATTTTAGTACATTTCAATATATAATTTATTAAAAGTAAGGAATCAAGTGTGGGCAAACCCCGAATCCTCTCCTTTGTCCAGCAAGGCTAGAAGAAGTATAATCTTTTAGGATATTTCAATGTTTGCAATTTCCTCTGTAGATTGTACTTAGTGCATTTGTCAGATTAAAGTGAATTAACCTGCCATAAATCCATCTTCTTCTAGGGTGACTTACTTTCACATAAGATCTTTTCATGTCTAGTGCCTGTGTTAGTAGTTGTTTTGACTGCATTCTAATAAGATAACCAATGCTTTAAAATAAAAGTAAGTTGCTTATCTATAATGTTGCAGAACCAATCCCAGCATTTGGGGGGAGGGGAAGGGTGGGGGTTCACTAAGCAATTTTCCATTCAGTAGTTTGTCATTGCCCGCTGCACAGTCGGCTCTCAACACCACTATCAAAACTAGTCTGCTACCAAATAACCCACAGCTGGGATCAAGCCTGGGAGTACAGAAATAAGCAGTGTTCTCACATCATAAAATAATAATAATAATGAGAGCCACTGTAGCACATTGTTTAGATCAGCAGTTCTCAACCTATGGGTGGCGACCCTTTTTCGGGTTCAAATGACCCTTTCGCAGAGGTCACCTAAGACCACTCAGAAAACAAATATTCACTGAAGTTATGAAATAGCAATGAAAAAAATGGTATGGCTGGGGGTGGCCACAATATGAGTAATTGTATTAAGGGATCACAGCATTAAGAAGGATGAGCACCACTGGGTTAGATGCTTGCTTGTTGGCCTAAACATCTTGGATTTGAACCCACACTAGAAGGGGTTTTAAAAATTCAACAGGCGATAAGCAGTTCCATGAAGAGAAAAAATATGTCACATGTAATACCATCTGGCACAATAAAATAGATCCTTTCAGCTTTAAGAGCTTCTTTAAGAACTCAAATATTTGAAGTTGGTATTATGAATCTGGTTCTTCTTCTTTTATTACCTTGTTACAAGGGTGTAGTCCAGTGTCTTGATTTTCTGTATCTGCCTTGCAATTCTTGAGTGGTTTGGGTGATGGTTTAGTTTATCTTTTTTGTGTGTAGAATTTGATGACAGCATCTGTCTATTTTTACTCTGGTCTTCCTCTCATCTTCCTCACAAATGTTCTGCTATGGAACACCTTCTGTTGTAAGTTCAGTAGCAATTCTATCGGCACCGAATGCTTTACTGTTTTTAAGCTTTTGCTGCCTGACTATTTTTGTAGCTTCTTTACATTCAGATCTTTTCTCCCTCCATGTTGCCTATATCATTTAGCTAAGGTTTTACTCACTGCTTCTTCACATTTTTTGATGAACCATTTGTTCTTTTTGTTTATGGTGGACATACCAAAACATTCTTCTGCAGTGGTTTGAATTATATTCTTAATATCCATCAAGGTTTGATCAACCTCTTTCTCTGATGGATTTTGAAAAATTTAATTTTTTCATTTGAATTCATCTGAAAATTTCTCTGGTATGCTTGTTTCTTGAAATCTCTCTTTATTGTACTCCAGAAATAATCTTTGCAACTTGGTGTAGAAAGATCTCTTAAGTTTGATTTTTAATTTTGCACCAACCAGGAAGTGGTCACTATGGTCAGTTTTTCTGTAGCTTCTAACTTGTTGTATCTGATGCATTTCTATTGTTTATTAAAATGTGATCTACTTGATTATAAGTTATCTTGCTATATGACTGCCAGGTTTGTTTATGTTTTTCTTTTCTTTGAAATTTGGTGCTGCTTTTCTGTAGTCCTTTGGCTACTGTTACTTTTAAATATATATTAATAACTAACTCGTACAATTTGTCTATAGCATTTATACTCAAAAGTCTGAATCCTCTTTTCCATTTCAGCACTGAGAGTCCAACTCTCACATCCTTATAAGAAAATAGACAATACCATTGAGTTGTATTTATTGACCTTCATTGTGATGCTAATTTTGCTCCTCCACTGCTAGCTAAGTGGAGTGATATGTTTATCTTTATATATGTAAATAATAGAGTGAATTGACAGTAAGTTAGTATGTAGGTATACAGGTATTATAGTTAAGTAGAAAGATGTGTAGTGTAAGCAGGTATATGGGTGCACAGGTACATAAGTAGACAGGCATGTGTTTAGTTATCCGGATCTAGTTTGTGAAGTTGAGTGCTGCAGAATCAGAAGTTCAACAAATGATTCATGAAAATTTCCACCCAAGTGATGTGACTGTATATACAGATTGCTCTGTTTTGAGGGGCAGATGAAGTGCATGGGGGTTCATAGCGAAGGAGATGGACGTCCCTTGGTGCAACAAAGCCTGGTATATGGTATCACAACGTCTAGTTTGAGAATGGAGGTGGAGACAGTCACTGCTGCCTTCCGCTGGCTTGAGAATCAGCTGTACACACATGTCGTTATTGTAACTGACTCACAGAGCATGTTGAGAAAGGTAAAGAGATGCGTGCTCCATGCAGAGTGGCAAGCATCACCTCAAAGGTCCTGGGTAGTTAGCATCCTTTGGATATTTTTTCTAGGGATGCTGGTGTGTTAGGAAATGAGCAGCCAGATAGACTGGCTGGTTCTGCACCACTTGGTGGTGAACTGATGTATGACAAGCTGGACGTTATGAGGGCCCTTTGGGAGTGAGTGAACAGTGCCGAGGAACAGATAGATCATTGCTGTCTGAGGAGAATGGCACTGCGAGGAGTTACAAGGAAATCTGGTTGATGCTCAACACTCAGGGGAAAGGTGAGACGGATTTACAATCAGACAGTTACTGGTACCATTAGAATTTTAATTCTTAGCTTGCTGCTGACGATGGGGACGGAGCGCTTTTGGGGTTGTCCCGAGTGCTGTGATGTTGATTCTTAATTCAACATTCAACATTGGAGTAAAAGTTACAGTTAAGACCATCGTTTTAATTGCACAGGGTTTGACCCAGCATGGCTTTGTTTTTCTCCACAGAACCGAGAGGGAATTAAATGGTAAAATGGAATCACTAATGTAGAGCTTTAGGAGAGAATTAAACAAAATCCAATGGACCAAGAGGTGAAGAAAAGACACTGACATTGGATAGGACACACGTTGAGAAAACCTGAGATATAACAAGAATATCTTTGCACTGGAATCTACAGATGCACAGAAATAAAGAAAGACCACAAAATAGAGAGTGAAGTTAAATAGATGGGGAGGACATGGGGAGAGCTACATGCGATAGTCAAGGGAAGAACGACTTGGTGTGAGTTGGTTGAGGGACTATGCTCCATTGGGAGGTAGAAACGCAGAAGAAGAATGATCTTCTTTGAAAATGTGTACGCCATTTCCCTTTCCCCTTTTATTATGTTTCTTAGTCACAGCTGAGTGGATTAATGTCTTTGACTGCATCTACTCACCATCTGATCATCCCCTCCTTCGTTGACATAGTGGCAGCCTTCCTTCATGTCTGGGCCTCTGTTCTGTAACTTGGGCTGTAGACTTCCTGGCGGTGTGGCTGCAATATGTACATACACATGTGGGTTAACTGTGGAAGTCTCCAGTATGTGCACACTCATATGGATTAGTGTGGGAAAATCTCAAGAATGTTTTCTTTTCTCAAAAGTGTTTCCTCTGCAGATTCTGTATTCTGTAGGATTAACGCCTCAAGAATGAGAATCAAACAGCTACCAATCCCGGAAACACAGTTCAGCGGTATAACCATATAGCACAGTTATACTGGGGCACCATTAAACGATTATGAAGTAACCTGTAGACTAGTGTGGGTGGGTTGTGTACAATTGATAATGTGTATATTCACGTTGGTTAACTGTGGGAGTCTTGATAATATACATACACATATACACATGTAGGTTAGCTATGGGAGTCTTGACAATATATACACACATACACACATGTAGGTTAGCTATGGGAGTCTTGATAATATACATACACATATACACATGTAGGTTAGCTGTGGGAGTCTTGATAATGTACATACACATATACACATGTAGGTTAGCTATGGGAGTCTTGACAATATATATACACATATACAAATGCAGGTTAACTGTGGAAGTCTTCAGAAAGTACATACACATATAGGTTAAATGTGGGAGTCTCGGGTATGTACATACATACATATAGGTTAACTGTGGGAGTCTTGAGAATGTACATTTACATATACACATGGACGTTAACTGTGGGAGTCTTGAGAATTCATATATATATATATGTATATAGGTTAACTGTGGGAGTCTCAGGTATGTACATATATATGTTGATTAACTGTGGGAGTCTCGAGTGTGTATACACAAACACACATGTTGGTCAGAGTAATGAAAGTCTCAAATATGTGCATACACATGTGTGTTAGTGTAGGAAAGTCATGATAATGAGCATACACACATGAGGGCTAGTTTGTGAAAGCTTCGACAATGTATACACACATATGGGTTAGTGGGGAAAAACCTCCAGAGTGTGTGGGTTAGCATAGGAGTGTGGTTCAATCTACGTACACATGTGGATTTTATGTGGGAGAATCGCAACACAGTAATGAATTGTAGGATTGCCGAGAAGTGTATGGTGCCAGTTCTACCTCAGTCAGAAAGAGGATTTGCACAGACAAACTGGGCACGACCATACAAAAGGCGAGAACCTAGTTAGGAACTAGCCTAAAATGGATTACAATGAACTCCAAAGAAAACCAATAATTGACTGTATGAACTGTAAATTACCTACTACGTGTTGCACATAGACATCCCTGGAGAACTACGTGGCAAGGTCAAGCAATTTATTAAAAAGTTAAAAGATCTTTTTCGTATCTTCATGCTTTTACATCTCAGCACTTTACTTGGTACCCATTTAAGGCTGGGTTGACCTGGGAGTCAGGGTCATTTAAAAAAAAAGACCGTCTTTATTCGTATTTTAAACCTGGACCTTTGGATCTGCAGGCGAACGTCTAGTCGCTACACCACGACGGCTTCCCCTCCCCCACCCCACCCCCACAGCAACTTGTTACTGGAACTTACATTCACGTATAGACGGGTAAGTAACTCCCATGCCATTTTTTAAGATAATTACTTCTAAGGTTAAAAAAACAGTTGATAATCAGCAATATGAAGGGCGGCTGGTCGATCGGGTAATTAGCTGGGTTCTCACTCGGGAGATCCGGGTTCGAATCCTATGTGAGATTGGGGAAAAATATAGAAAGATAATAGAGGAACTCTACAACAGTGCGATGTTTTTATGGTCGAGGAGGTCAGAAGAGTAAAAAACGAGAACCTTATATCTTCCTCGACACCCGAAGCGGTACAAGAGAAAGGGAAGAAAACGATCAATAACCGTGTTGGTGGACAGCGTGGCCTGAAAGCTTTAATGTATAAGCGGTGTCTTAGCAAATATTATTGTTGGATGTGCACAGTTTAAGCCCTTCATGCATCATCATCATCATCATGTAGCAGGGCTTTGCAGAACGTTGCTTAAATCACAAAGAAACTTAGGTCTCTCGCCAGCTCTCCCACGTCGTGTATTTTCATATTTGAGGAGTCACTAATATTATGTGCTCATCTTCTTGTTGGTTGGCCCCTGTCCCACCTCCCTCCCCCCTTTCCCATCCCGGTACCATGCCTTTTGCTATCATTTTTTTCGAGTCTGCCATTGCGCTTGGTATGACCAAAATATTTCAGCTTCTGAGACAAGATGTTGTTTATAAGGCAATCTTCCTTGATTTTCAGATTTTTTAAGTGTCAGTATTTCTTCTTTGGTCTGCAAGATGTGGACTGTGCCTGGCTCTGCATCCAGCAGGGTTGGGGTCGGCTAGCTTCTCTTAGGAGAGGTGAAAAGTGAAAATTAGTAGCCTGCCGATGACCCACAGTACACATAAGTCAACCTCTCCTCCCAGTGGTGCAGACCGGGAAACTGTGGCCGTGAGGCCACAGGCGAACGAGGCTCTGGCTCGCCAGATGGGATGGGGTCCATCTGGTCAGATTTTCCCTTAAACTGCGACTGGCCTAGCAAGCCGGCAGTGGATTTTTTATTGCTACGAAAATTAGAAAGGAGATAAATAAACGGACAGCCCCAAACGGAAAATGGACTGGAAACGTTAAAGGACGACGAGACAGAAAAACGACTTACATAGGCACATGGAACATATGTGGTATTGCCAACAAAGAGCCACAAATAGTGGATTTCATGAAAAGAAAAAATATACACGTCATGGGTCTTGCGGATACAAGAAAGAAAGGATATAATACAAAAGAAATACATGAAAATTATGTTTTATTATGGAGCGGAGTACCCACTAAAGATAGGGCAAAACATGGTGTCGGATTTATACTTCATCCCGAGACAGCAAAATTAATAACAGGAACAGAATTTATATCAGAAAGAATTATTTTAATCAAGTTGACAGAAGGAAGTAAAACTACAACGATCATTCAGATATATGCACCTTGCAACGATAGTTATTCTGAAGAAGAAAAAGAAGACTTTTACGAGAGACTTACGGACACCATCAATAATGTTAAAGAGAAAGAGGACATCATAGTAATGGGAGATTTTAATGGTAGGGTAGGTAAAAGAAGATCACCATGGGAGAGATACCTTGGCCCATTCAGCGACACAACCACAGATTGCAATAGAAATGGAGAACACCTGTTAAACTTGTGTGCTGAACAAGATCTCTACATTACCAACACATTCTACCAACATCGCCAAAGTCAGGTTAAAACGTGGTACAAGTGGAACAACTTAGATCAAGCGTCACAAATTGATTTTATACTAGTCAGACAACGGCAGAAGAGGACGGTAAGAGACTCAAAAGCTGTCCCAAATGCGGGACTGGATTCAGACCATCGCCCAGTAGTTATGAACATATGCAACTCAAGTAGAAACAGTCTACATAAACAGAAACGTGAAGAAATCATCAACACTAAGAAATTAGAGGAAGAGAATATCAAACATGAATTTGAACTAGAAATAACAAAGGCTTTTGCAGATATTGCCAAGGAACCAGTAAGAATTGAAGAAGAATGGGATTATTATAAATCAACCATCACGAAGATATTAAAAGACAAGTGTGGTACCAGAAAGACGGGCAAAGGCAAGAAAAAGGGTACCGCTTGGTGGAATGAAGAAGTTAAAGAAGCAGTGTCAAATAAAAAGAAGATGTTTCAAATATGGTTAAAAACAAAAGACGAAAAGGATTACATTAGGTACAGACTAACTCGAAGAGACACCAAGAGAACAATAAAGAAATCCAAAGAGGAATCATGGAAAAAGTATGGTGAACACCTAACACAGCTATGTACAGAATCACCAAGAGACTTTTATAAGAGTGTGAACGCGATGCGATTAAGAGAAGAAAGCTTCAATCCAACATCAGTCATAAACGATAAAAATGGAAAACCATTATTCAGCCAAAAAGAAATTAAAAAAAGATGGAAGGAATATTTTAAAGAACTTTTGAACCCGTCGGGAGTACATGAAACAGCAGAATTCCATTCAAGGGCTCCAGATCATCTAGAACCACATATCCTGCGGGATGAAGTAGAGAAAGTTATCAAAACAAGTAAAAGACACAAAGCAGCTGGTATCGACGGAATAACAACAGAAGTCATCCAGGCTGGAGGGGACACTATGATCACCTGGCTGGAGAGAATTTTCAATAGAGCATGGGCAGAGAGAAAGGTACCAGTGGATTGGCAAAGATCAGTTGTAGTACCTATCTGGAAGAAAAAAGGAAACAAGAGAGAATGTGGAACTTATAGAGGAATATCTTTACTAAGTCATGTGGGGAAAATGTATGCAAAGATCTTAGAAGGTAGGATAAGAGCAAAGGTTGAACCTCTACTGAGTAAAGCACAATTCGGTTTCAGGAAAGGGCGAGGTTGCACTGATGCCATATTTGCACTAAGACAAGTCTGTGAAAAGACACTCGAATACGATAAAGAGCTGAACGTGGTCTTTGTAGATCAAGAGAAGGCATTCGACCGTGTAGACAGAGATGTGCTGTGGAGAATTCTTGACGATTACGGAGTGCAGGGTCAATTATTAGACAACATCAGAGCCCTCTATGAAAAAAGTGAAAGTGCAGTAAGAACATCTAGTGGTCTTTCTGAATGGTTCAAAGTCACAACTGGTGTCAGGCAAGGATGTGTACTGTCACCATTACTTTTCATAACATACATGGATAAGATCACTGTAGAAGCAAACCCAGACGTGTATGCTATAAACGAATTACTTTTTGCTGATGATCAAAGCATACTGTATCAAAATGAATATGATCTACAGGAACATCTGACTACTCTCAACAACAGCTGTTTACAACATAATATGAGAATCAGTACAGAAAAAACAGAAGTTATGAAGATCAGCAGAACACACAGGCCACTGAATATAAATGTTGGAAGTGCCAAAATCAAGCAAACCAAAGAGTTCAAATACTTGGGCAGTATATTTACAGAGG